CCAGATCTTCCACATCAATTTTTTGCGCTGAACCAGCTTCACTGGCGAGCCACAAAACGACTAGGAGGCTGAGACAGTGATGGGAAAAGATGGCGCACATCCAAGCCGAATGCCTATCCTCCACGATTGTGTCAAGCCTTAGCAGCCGCACATTCCAGCATGCGCAGACTGTGGTATGTGATGGCGAAGAGCCAGAGCCTACAGGTTTGGATGTCGCATTGCAAGCATTGGCAGCAGGCTTTGATCCATACTTAGTGACTGCCGAAGGAACGGAGATGGGACATGATTATTGGGGAAGCAGATTTTTCCGGAACATTGCCAGTTGCTCCGACTAGTAGCCACATTTGTGAAGTGAACGTTGTTGAGCCATCCTTTTCTTTCACCATGCCCTGCCAAAGTGTGTTCGAGCAAGCAGGCGTCCGAAGAGCGACTCTGACCGAGTGGAATCAAAAAATATATAATTTAATATGTCTCAAAATGCCGATCCAATGACCTACAAGAAACCACATGCTTTTAACAGTTTTACCGTGAAAAATGCTGCTTTCCCCAGCCGTATCCCTTCAACTCCTGGGAAGTCTGCTGGGATTCGTCTTGTGGACGAGCTGATTAGACACCTTGGTGTCGCTGGCGCTTTGACATCTGGGTTGTGTTTTTTGGGCATACGACCACCCAAATGTCCAATTCAATGAGTGGAATTCAATGATGGGAAATCAAATGTCCAATTCAATGATGGGAAATGATGGTTGTAAGGGAATCAAAATTTTGGAGCTGCCTACAAATTAAGACCCACACCCCCATTTGTGGGTGTGGATCAAAGAAATTGCTGGACCACAAAATACCACAAATACATTCACCAATTTTGGGGACACCCAATTTTGACCCACCATAGGCCAAGGCAACATGGCACAACCCAGTTACATTGCATTTGGCACTTCCCATTCTGAGAGGTCACGCATTCACAAGGTCGAGTCAAACTCATTGGTCAAGAGCCTATGTCCGAAAGGTCGGAAGATCTGCATCAGAGACCACGCTACGAGTTCAGGTGAGGTGCTGAAAACATCTTGAGCCTCCTCAGGTTCTGCCTCCTCTGATGTGAAGAAGGAGAGGAGAGACCAAGATCGGCTCGCCCGTGTGGAGCACTCCTTGAATTATGGCGCTTTTGGGGGCCATCAAAAATGGAAAATCCTCGGATTAGATTGGATTCCCCATGTCTGGTGGATTCACCAATAGGAAAATAACAAATCATCTTCAGCAAATCCAGCAAATCCAGGACTCACTGGTAGCATCCGTGGATTTCTTCATCTTTAAGCCGTTGATCTGGGCAGAAAGGTCTTCCTGGACACTCCTGCCACGGCGCAGGAACGCCGATCATTTGAGAAAAAACACGGTCCCGTTCTTGGCCAGGCGCATTTCCTTTCCAACATGAGTTGGCACATGTTGGCACATGTTGGTACAAAATGTAGATTTTATCAAATATCAAGCTAAACCTCAACGAAAAATCACGCGTGGCACCATGAGTTTCGGGTGATTTTCCCAAGAGTTTCAAGCTTGGGCAGATCATAAGACAAAATTTATCTTTAACCCGTGGAGTTTCAACTACGGCCAAATGGGTTTCAGAGCGCGATAAACCACCAAAAACCAGGATCAACCATGAAAAAAATGATAAACCATGTTATACCATGATAGAACATGATAGAGCATGATAAACCATGATTAACCACGATATACCCATAATAAATCCTGATATACCATGATAAGCCATGAAAAAACATGATAAAAACAAGAAAAAAATGATGAACCATGACAAACCATGACAAACCATGATATACGATGAGAAACCATGATAAACCATGAAAAACAATGATAAACCAGCTAAACCATGATAAACTATGATAAAACATGATAAACCATGATAAGCCATGATAAACTATGTCAAACCATGATAGACCATGATAGACCATGATAAACCATGATGAGCCATGATAAACTGTAATAAACCATGATAGACCATGATAGACCATGATAAACCATGATAAACTACGTATGTCAAACTATGTCAAACCATGAAAAACCATGATAGACCATGATAAACCATGATGGGCCATGATAAACTGTAATAAACCATGATAGACCATGATAGACCATGATAAACCATGATAAACTACGTATGTCAAACTATGTCAAACCATGAAAAACCATGATAGACCATGATAAACCATGATGGGCAATGATAAACTGTAATAAACCATGATAGACCATGATAGACCATGATAAACCATGATAAACTACGTATGTCAAACTATGTCAAACCATGAAAAACCATGATAGACCATGATAAACCATGATGGGCCATGATAAACTGTAATAAACCATGATAGACCATGATAGACCATGATAAACCATGATAAACTACGTATGTCAAACTATGTCAAACCATGAAAAACCATGATAGACCATGATAAACTACCATGATAAACCATGATGGGCCATGATAAACTGTAATAAACCATGATAGACCATGATAGACCATGATAAACCATGATAAACTACGTATGTCAAACTATGTCAAACCATGAAAAACCATGATAGACCCATGATAAACGCATGATGGGGCAATGATAAACTGTAATAAAACCAAATGATAGACGCATGGGATAGACCATGATACACCATGATAAACTACGTATGTCAGACTATGTCAAACCGATGAAATAAACGCATGATAGATCCAATGATAAACGCATAGATGGTCCATGGATAACTAGTAATAAACCACATGATTAGACCATGATAGACCGGGCATGATAAACCATGATAACTACGTATTTGCAAACTATGTTCAAACCATGAAAAACGCCCCCCCCATGATAGAGCCATGATAAACCATGTATGTGCGTCTATGGATAAACTGTAATAAACCAGATAGGAGCTTCATGATATGACCATGATAAACGCATGATAACTAACGTATGTCAAACTATGTCTAAAGGCCATGAAAACATGATAGACCCATGGATAAAGCCATGATGGGGGGGGCCATGATAAGACTGTAATAACCTGATAGGACTTGGCAGATAACATGATAAAACTATACTATGTCAAACTATGTCATAACCATGATAAACCATGATAGTACGCAGGGAAAAAACCATGATAGACAGACCATGATAAACGTCATGATGGGCAGCATGATAAACTGTATAAAACATGATAGACCATGATAGAGCGCATGAAAACCTATGATAACTACGTCTGGGCAAACTATGTCCAACTTCATGAAAAACCATGGATATACCATTATAAAACCATGATGGGCCTATGATAAACTGAAATAAACTGCTATGATAGATCCATGAGAGACGCATGATAAACCTGATAAACTCAGTATGTCAAACTATGTTCAAACGCATGAAAACGCTATGGATGAAACGGCGTCATGATAAACGCATGATAAGCCATATACAACTGTAATAAACCATGATAGACCATGATAGACCATGATAAACCATGATAAACTACGTATGTCAAACTATGTCAAACCATGAAAAACCATGATAGACCATGATAAACCATGATGGGCCATGATAAACTGTAATAAACCATGATAGACCATGATAAACCATGATAAACTACGTATGTCAAACTATGTCAAAACATGAAAAACCATGATAGACCATGATAAACCATGATGGGCCATGATAAACTGTAATAAACCATGATAGACCATGATAGACCATGATAAACCATGATAAACTACGTATGTCAAACTATGTCAAACCATGAAAAACCATGATAGACCATGATAAACCATGATGGGCCATGATAAACTATGTCAAACTATGTCAAACCATGATAGACCATGATAAACCATGATAAACTACGTATGTCAAACTATGTCAAACCATGAAAAACCATGATAGACCATGATAAACCATGATGGGCCATGAAAAACAATGATAAACCAGCTAAACCATGATAAGCCATGATAAACCATGATTTTTTGCCATGGTTTAAACCCTGATTTTCACATCGGCCCCTGGCACAAAAAGCATACCGCCGGTGGCTTCCGCCGCCGCCTGTAGTGCTTCATGATCTCGTCGGAGCCCGGACGACGTAGGCGATGCTTCAGGCATTGAAGCTGTTTCTCAAGGAGACACAGCCGCCTGGTGGGAAACTGGTGTTGGATCGACATCAGTTAACCCAGAAAAATGGAGAATATGATGAGGGTTTTTTTGCAACAATAAGGGCCCCCAGGAAAAAACGTTGGTTTGTGAAATGTGATTCACTCATGAGCTAGAATTACTCTGTGTATATCCCAAAAACCCTGCTTTGTCAAGTTATAAATCAACCTAGCTATCAAACAGGGAGCCTCGCCTTGTAGAAGATGTATGAAGATGTCAAATATAACTTGTTTGATACCCAAGCAACATAGGGGGATACATTAAGTTATACCCACACTAAGAACATAAGTTAAACCTATCCTCTGTGCGGTTGGTGATTGGGCCACCCATCACACAAAAGTGGTTGTAGGAAAACCCTCGCTTTCAGACCAAAATAATTACTAAATCACTGAATGCAAAAGAGAAAATGAAAGCACCAACCAGCAGCTCGTTCTGCTGAACGTTTTCTTCACAGCTCTTCTCTTCCACCTTCATCACATAGTCATCCTGGCAACTTCGATGTTATACAACCAAAAGCCAGCTGTTCTACTTGACTTACTCCCAATGGAAGTCTGACTGAATGTTTGGCTCTAAATTCTAAATCTGATTTTGGATTCTTCTTTGATAGACTGCAGATCCGTTGGTGTCCGATGGTCAACTGCGGCACTTGGCGACCGAAGAAACGTGGAAACGTTGGTGCCTCTGGAGCCAATGCAGGCTTCACCACTCAACTTGAAAAAAAAATACTTGTATCATATTAATATGAATTTAAGATTCAGGAACTCCTGGATTTCGGTACCCATCTTGGAAATCCGCAAGCAGGCGTGGATGCATATGCATACATGTATGCATACATCTATGCATACATCCATCCATCCATCCATCTATCTATCTATCTATCTAATTAATCTAATCTATGTAATCTAATTTATCTATCAATCTCAGTGACTGGTTTTATATCCAGCATGGCATGCGGCTAAGCCAAGAACCAGCTGTCCTTCAGCATGTCCTGATACTCCGCATCTGGCACTCGACGGCAGCGTCTTTCCCCGCGTGGTGCTTCCATCTTGAGCCCACAGCTGCACCAACGGAGCCCCCGCTACACAGGGGACTCCAAGAAGTGAAATGATGACTGCAGCGCCAAATGGGTCTGACATGGGACCACCCCATTGGCAAAATTTATATAAGGATACCCTCTGGTAAACATACAAAAAACTATGGAAAATTACCATTTTTCATGGGAAACTCAACTATTTCTATGGCCATTTTCAATAGCTATTTTGACATACCCAGAGGGTAAATGATGACTGGATTTTGTGGAACCGGTACCCCATTGCATCCCATCGTTTCAAACATGGTTTTCATGTGTTTTCCCCAAATCTGCCAGAAAGGGTATGTAAACCCTCCCATTTTCATGCAAGCCCATATCATATCATTTTGTTGGCTATATCAGGCTATATCCCGTGATAGTGTCACTATATGCCCCCCATATCCCGAGTAGATTTGTGGTTTCAAACCCATTACTGAGCAGGGACATCTTGATCATCTTGAAATGAAATGTGCGAAAGAAAAAAGATGAAAAGCAAGACCAATCACAAAGAACACAAGGTGGTGCCCCATAGTTAGCTAAGTTGGTTTATAACTCCCAAAACTATGGTTTATGGCAGATATAACTATAGTTAATGGGGTTTATAAACCAACTTATAACTGGGGGGCACCATCCTGCAACTGAGACCTGTTTATAAATACCACGGCAGTACCCTCAGCCTGGATCATCCCGGTACCAAGCCACTGTCCGATTCAAAGCCTTCTTGGCCATTGCTGGGTCCTGGTGTCAGCATGGAATAAGGATGCTATGATATTGTTTATAGTTTATAGCACCCCACCCCCAAGAAAAAAAAACACTGAAAAGTAGTGTCTCACTATTTTAGTGGATTTTTACTTCTCTATCTTTTTGGGGCTTACTAATTATAATGGGAAACTATGTGAAGATCAGCTAGTCTATAAATATTTTCGAGTTTTGTGTTCAGCCCGCAGCAAAATGAGTCGATGATTTTCCCATCAAAGCCCCATCAAAAAAATGGCGAATCTTGAACCATCTATGATGATAGGGGGCCACGTTTACTCCGTGGGTGAGAACCATTTGTAGATCATTTCCTAGGGGAAGCATGGGTTTGCCACATCTACGTTAGTTTACCCTAGGGTAAATGTGTTCTTATATACTATAAACCCGATCAATTTGGAGCAAAAACATCGTTTCCAGCAAATGTTCCCAGAAATCAATAGATGGCTGGAAATTTACCAGTTTTACCTTTACAAGATCATCTACAAATCAACGAGGGCATCATGGTAGATGATAGATGCGCTACCAACTATTGGTGGATGTCTCCACCAAAGCTCGTCATGTCCATCGACTGAAAAAGATGCGGAAGATGCGGCAAGGTTTTTTCGGGGAAAAAAACATATCTACCATTCACTATTCACCAACCCCTGATTAAAACACTTCAAAATGGCTGATTTTCAGGGTCCAACTCTCAATTTACATCCATTTACCATTTCGGTTTACCATTTACAGTAACTGATGAACCCAGCATTTTCAGTTGCCCTCTGGTTATATTGACATAGCCATGGATAATGGCCCATAGAAATAGATGGTTCACCTATTCAAAATGGGTGGATCTTTCCATGGCAAACTGTTAGTCATAACCAGATGGTATACCCTACCAGATTCTACCACCATCATTGACCGTATAATCACCATCATCATTAACCATTATTAACCATAGTTATGTGAGTTTACCAGAGGGCAACAACCCCCGGATGAAATCCTGGGACAACTTCTCGAGCATCTCGTCACTGGGTGGCTCATCGGGGATCGCGGCCGTGTCGGTGCCCTGAGCGACGCTGGAAAATCACCATTTTATAAGGGGCAATCACCAGTTTTCATGGGGAAAATATGGGAAAATCACCATTTATTGATGGGGAAACCACATGAAACCACCATTTTGAATGGGGAAGACCACCATGTTTAATGGGTAAATTACCTTGTTTTTTTATGGGTAGATCATCATGCTTAATGGGTAAATCATGATGTTTGTCATCTATTTCCATGGGCCATGGCTTCCATAGCGAACTGTGGATCATACTGGAGGGTATATGAACTGGCGTGAAAGCATCGGCCCCTTCCACTTCCCATCTGACATGCTTCTCATATATGTTATTATACAGTCTTCATCAATCTTCCCTGATCAGAATGATATTCAGTGATGCAGTAGCCTACAAGAATACCCCAAATGGACAGCTGCACGTAGAGTCTGGGTCAAGTGTCGAAGACCATATCAGCAAGCTTCTTTCCGCTTGACCTCAGGCTTCTTTCCGCAGCCGTGTGGGCCCTGCAGAATGCCATCCACATGCGTAAGGGATGCAGAAGACCTGTGAATTCCTCTTGTGCCATGCAGTCCAAGGAGCAGCTTCGCAACAGCAGCCTTGGAGCGTCTGGCTGTCACAGAATCAGTCATCTTGAGAACCCATTCAGCACTTCCCCCCATCTTCCCAAGAAGCTGAACACACTTCCACCGCGCAAGAAACGCGCCAAACTTCCCCCTGCGCGCCATGTAGCAGTGATCATCTCCCCCTCTTCTTTCAGAAGGTGTTGCATCTCAGAGGGTTCCATGTCCTGGCGACTCCGTCACTGGAGAGACAACGGTGATTTTCTCGTGCTGATGGCTGATGTCATGGTGATTTCATGGTAATTTCATGGCAGTCTCTCAGCCCTCTTGACCCACTGAAGTTTGATGTCCTTGCTGATATTGCTCACTGCAGGTGCCTCGTTGCCCTCAGATGCAGGTCATTGACCAGACGGACCAAATCAGCGACTGGGCTACAGCCTTCTCCCTTCGCGTGTTGTTCACACACACATAAACATATACTGTATCAGTATCAACGGTAAATAGTACTATCGTTGATTATATATATATATGTGTGTGTGTGTATCATGATTATATTATAGTTGTGATTTATCATTATTGTCATTACTATTTATGGGGTGTAATTTGGGGTGATGTAAAATGACTCCCGTGGTTGCTGAATGGGATGTTTTATGGGGTTTACCACCTTATGTGTTATATATATATATCCTGTGGCGCAACCCCACTGCATCGTGGCAAAAAAAAACCTCTGAGCAGCCCCACGGGCCCCTTGTCCGAATCGTTCGGCCCCTGGGAACGTCATCCAAAATCATGGGAAAACCCATGGGAAAAGCCATGGTAGAAACAGTGGTTGATCGTCACCTCCCACTCAAAATGGCTGTGAAATGGCCATAGAAATAGTTGATTTACCCATAGAAAATGGTGGTTTTCCATACTTATGTCATACTTATGTAAACGTTTACCAGGCCGGGTACCTCCTTTTTGGATCAACCACATCTCGCTGTGCCATGCTGTGCCTCTGTTGTCGTAGCTGCAAAGGGCTCATCGACAGGAGGCGAAGTTGCAGTGAAGGGCTCGTCCTGGTGGCAAGATGTGCCGAGTTAAAACCCCAGTGAACACCGTGTCAAGGAACGGAAAGTAACGGAATGTGTGATACAATTATCTATCTATTTTTCTATCTATTTATCTGTCTTTCTATCTTTCTGTATGTGCGCATACATGTGCACATGTCTATTTTCATGCAAAACTTTTGGGTAGTACACTCTAGCAGCTGAGAATGGAAAGTCCCCTCGTCGACATGGCGACCTTCTTCAGCGAAACTGGTTTGGAGAAGATTTTCCGGTGCCAGAGCCCACCCAAAAATACTGTTTCTTGTTGGGGCAAGGTGGGCGCGTCTCTGTCGATGAAGCTGGTTGAAGTTGGAGGACTGCTTGATGCGTTTCTTTCTGTTGGGTTGTTCCGGTTTCCTACGGGTGGTCGGCTTCCATGTGAGTCATTGTTAGGCCCCCTTGCCCACCTAGGCTCTTATCGCAACTTCCCAACAGTCCGGAAGGAACATGCACCATGATTTTTTGCCCATCCCACTATCAATTAAAAGCATTTAATAGTATAAAATTAAAACAGGATAGAGTAGGTATCTTGGGCACGGGAAAGGCATGGGAAGGGGAAGGTTTTCAAGGCGTCTTACTCCACTGTTGCAAGTTCTGTTTATTCCATTGGGTTCGTCGTCGCCTTCCAGGTTCAGTATGGCCATGGCCCGGTCAATTGTGCACGCAGCAGCTTGTATTTGGGTTCCATCAAAGGGGTGGACTGTCCGGGGACCTCACGGGGATGGCACTTTCAGAAAGGATGGGCATCTAATGCCCCCCGAAACCCAATATCTTGATATATTTTGTATCTTGGTTTGTCTCAAGCTATAAGCCCCAAAAAGATCGAAAAGTAAAACCCTACTATGTTTTCGTGACAATTTGAAGTGTTTCTGCATCTGTTTGGGGCTCATTTTTTCTACCCCAAAAAAAGTGTTGAAAAGTGTTTCCAGGATTGATAGTTCGATGATGTTCACCCACAATAATGATGCAGGTATCCCACTGTTGAAATTATCTATTTGGGGTTTGCTAATCACAAAAAAAAAACATAGAAACCCAAAATATTCCATAGAAATCCCAAAATATCCCAGAAAATCACACAAAATCAAAAAAAAACATAGAATCCGAAACCCAAAATATCCTTCAAAATCCCATACAGATTCCATAAGAATCCCAGAGCCCGAAAATTGCCTGCCTCCTTCGCGACCTCAGGAAGTTGTGTCACTAAGTCCTGCGGAAGCAGAAACTCCGGCCAAGACAGCCTTTTGGAGCCCCGGTGCAGGAAAAAAAAAAAACTACTATGTAAATATATATATATACACATACACACACATATAAGTATATATATATATACATTTAGAGAGAGAGAGAGAGAGAATTAGAAGGAAGGAAGGAAAAAAAATGCAATAAATAAATGAATACGATACTGTAAATCACTATTTGATCCTTCTTGCGGGAACCTATGAATGATTGTCCTTTCTAATCACGATTCTTTCCATGGGATGGACTGGGTTACACCCCAGAATCCAGTCTGGCAAGGGCCACTTGGGGACGATTCCCCATGTCTAACAGTATAATGTTAGTAAAGCAGAAGTAAAACATCCCAAATTGTATCATAAATGAATGGCATAATTTATCAAACTATGGATGGTTTATTATTGCTTTACGAACATTAGAACTGTGTAACCCACCACCTATGGCGACGTCGATGGGGTCGAGGCATAACCATATTTTCCCATCATAAGGGTGTCATGTAACTCTTCCTTTGGACCAACTGGAATGGTGGATCCCATTTTGACCATTGGTTTCAATACTTGGTAGCCCCATGTGAGGAAACCTCCAGCATGGATATATGTCTTTAAAAATGATTGAAAAAATATCGTTGCAATGATCAATGGGAGTTTCCGGATCCTAGAATATATATATATATATATGGTAGGTACCTCCAATTTAGGGTCCTGACATGGCCATTGAAATGATGCCAACCAACTTCTGGGTGTCTTTGGGAACTTTGGGCGGTCCTGCTCCAAGGTCTCTATCTGAAGTGAAGCGTCCACATCACCCCACCACGGAGCCTTCCACCCGTTGCTCGGAGGAAGGTCGGCCTGGGAGAAGAGGAACGACTTGACGACTTGGGTACCGCTGGGTACTGCTGTGTGGTGGTAAACCCTGTCCAGATTTGCCATCCCAAATTACGGTTTCTTGTTGATATATGTTGATATCATTGGTATACCGCTACACTGTTACACCATGTTACACCCTTGGCCAGGGGATGATGTAGCATTCTTAAAATAACCCCAAATGGTTGATGAGATGATTGATTACTGGCTTTACCGCACCGGAGAGTATAGTTCAGCCGCCCCGTCCTCGGAAGGGTTGAAGGCGTAGATGTGGACCCGACCCGAAGGATTGGAGCCAATCCACCAGCCCACTGACCCTGCATCAAGGTCAGCATAGTGATACAGCCAAACCTGAGTACCAGGGATAGATTCCAGCGTCACTAAGTGGTCTGGAGGAAGTTGAAAATCGGCCAGCTCAATCAGGTCATCTATCACCCACTTCAGTCTTTGGGTTCAGCACATCGCTGGCCCACCTCGTCATCACCCGTGCCAGAGCCATCCTTCTTGTAGGATGGTTTGTCACCACTGGTCCCGGCTGGCATGTAGGACCTCAGTTTGGCCAACCGCACAACCGCACCGGCATCCGGTCGCCCAAACCCACCAGATCCACCAGATCCGGATCATATGGAGCCAAGTGGCCCTTCGATGACATGAGCTGTGGCAGCATCTTGGCACCCATCAACCTTCACAGGCAGTGGCTCCCCGGTGGCCACAAGTGCTTTGGGCGCAAGTTGGGTGACCACCTGCTGCTGCCTGACGGCGAGCCATGGCTGATGTCAAACAACACTTGTGCGCGCGCGCGCGTGCCATGTGTTTCCCTCCGCGCCTGTGAGGTTCTATGGGCATTTGGTCATCTTGCCTGCAAGGACCGTACAAGAAACGGCCACTTGAATCGAAGCATGTGAAGAGCTTCTTCCTGTCATGGTAAAGACCCAAAGTATTCGCACCAAACCTGGACCTGCAGTCCCAAGCATCTGCACTCTGCAAGCCCTGCCTGTCTTCATCTTCCTGCTTGGCCTGCCATGTCACCATTTCAGCTCAGAAATCTCCAAAAGGCGCATGCTCCCAGAAACTTAAAGAAAAAAACAAGGTGATGTCGGTGATGGGAGGCACATGGTTTGGAGAAAAACCACAGATCAGCGCCTCTCTTCTCATGACTGGCTGCCCGGAGGCTGAGATGTACGCCTCCCTGGCGTCCTCGGCAGAGAATTCCCAATTGCCATGTGGGGGTCCCAGTGTCCCTGCTACGAAAAGATCAAAGGTACTGGGAGAACTATCAAAAATAGGTTTAAAATTGCTACAAAATGCTGGCCTCATGGTTTGACCATGAAAAATTGAGGTTTCACCAGTCCCCTACATAAAAGAATCTTGTTTTACGGATTCTTCTGGGGCCCCCACCATTGGAAACATCCACCGTGAAGCACTGCCAACCCCCAACGAAACACCGCGCCTCCTCATAGCTCGACACTCTATGAGGATGTAGCCGTTGTTGACCATCCTCATTCCCAGCGGAAGCACCACTCCGGTTGCTATTTTTGGGGCCAGAAATTCCTCACGCCGAAGCAGCCAACACTCCAAGGTCAACCAAGGTTCCGTTACAGCATGTCCAATTGGGCACAATGCCCAAACCTCAGGAAGAACGGTCAGCTGGGAACAACCTGACCATGAGAAACCGAGGTCAGCCAATTCTGTCAAGGCGCAATTTTCAGGAGACGCATCCTCAGACGTCAGGGACTTCCAAAGAGTAAAGAAGCAAGTTCTGCAGCACGCGCCGACCTTTCTGTCCCACCAAAACGAGACGGCAATCTTTGAAACATGCTGAAAACAACAGGTGCCTGGCCAGCTTTGGCATATCTGCACCAGAATTGCTGACAAGTTTCAATTGGTTTTTTGAGATAGATGCCTATATGGCCCGATATGGATAGATTGCCTGACCACTTGGAATTCTCCGAGTCGGAAGTGACTTGGAAGACCTGCTGAAGCCGAGATGGCTTCGGCTGACGCCAGGGCATCCAGCGCAAGCATCGCCCATCTTGGTGCAGAGGCCACAAGCCTCATGGCCTAGATGAAGAAATATCCCAGAAATTGTTTTGTCTGAAAATAGGGTATCCCAAGATCCAATGGTTGATTATGGTTAACGTTTATTATCCATTTTGTGCCATTTGTTAATGCTGATTCTTGAGTACTAGTCTAATAACTACCACAAACCCAACTGATTGTCATGTTCTCTCCAACAAACACTCACAGCAACCCACCACAACCTCAAGTCACTCGCATGGCCTGGTGAAGACAAAGTCTGCGCCATGTCCAAACGAAGAAGACTGACTTCGCCGGCCCATCCGACTGGTGGATCCCCTATTTTTCATCGTTGCCAACTCGTTCAACATGCTTAAAGTTTTAGAAAAACGTTTCCCGTTGCATACAGTGTTTGTGCGTCAGCATCCAAGCTCTGAAAAGTTGCAAGCTTGTAAGCATGATATCTTGTTGAAGTCAAATACCTAGGGCATAAGCCTGACCCTTGAGAATGGAAACTGCGGTCGGTGCTGCTGACCGCCAAATGTTCCCCTGGTGACCTCCTCTGACCTTGCAATATCTTGCAATACCAATCTGCCCTCTCTCTCTCTCTCTCTATCTGCCCTCTGAAACATGTTATTTTCTGCCGCTTTCCTGGGCAAAACTCATCAAAACTCGATGTGATTTGCGAACCCGGAACATGATTTCAGGTGTTCAGAAATGACACGGCATTCTGTGACGCATCCTTTTTGTTGGTGCCGCTAAATCAGCTGGCACCCTGTTGGCCTGAGTCAAGCGGCCTCGCTTGCTGGTTCTGGGCATGAATGGCGGAAACCAACCAGCACAGGGTGCTGTTCACAAATTTGGCCTCGGAAGACTCGATTGACTAGATGCTCATCTGGAAAACACACACACACACTCTAATATGTTGCGCGCAGGGGGTCGTCAATGTTGGTCATCTTTGTTCACCTAGTCTTTCAAGTTGCCTGGGTTGTAGACAAATACACTACCCATGGAGAGAGCAGGTTCCACTAGTTCTGGTTGCAGCCAAAGCGCATGTGCCAGGAATGTTCGGTTCACCTTGCCCACAATGCCACAAGAATTGCAAATAGGGTATTCCATTCCACTGTGCGGTTTCAAATGGTTTCAACCCCCCAGATGTTCAGACATACCCTCATTGGATTAGGTAACAGATCCCAGTATCCAATTTACCTCCACTAGGTCCACAGATTTTTTTTGTTTCAATGCCCTCTGGCCCCGAAGTATCCCAATGAATGCCCTGTTACATCCAACTAAATCCTGCTGAAATCATGTTACCCTCTGGTAAACATACAAAAAGCTGTAGAAAATCCGCCCGCACCGAAGGTGCTGGGGCGTGATCGTCCGGATGGCACTCGTAAAAGGTTACAGGTTTACCTGGGGGGGGGGCATTTTTCGGCCAAAACCTCCTGTTTTTGATAGGTCGTGACGCTCGCCTTCAAAAAACACTGTAAAAAACAGTACGGAAGACACCTGTTCGTGAACGCGCCCGTCCAAAATCGGCAAGCGAAAAGTGAAAAAAACCCGTGTTTTTCAACTTTTTGACTTCAATTTTTTGGTTTGCAACATCTTTTTTTGCGGTTCCGCAGGTGGCCTGGCCCGGAGGCGGATTTTTGAGTTTTTGGACCCGTTTTCGGACTGATTTTCGTCGTTTTGTGATAGCAGAAACACTGGTTTTTACAGTGTTTTTCTGTTTTCTGCATGCTTGACGGCTAGCTTCAAAACTTCCAAAAACCTCGTAAATTACACTGTTTTATGTTACGGTGTGAATGAAAACATCGTAAATACCAGTGTTTACAATCAGTACTTTCGGATGTTTTTGGTCTCAATGGCCGACATGCCTTTTCATCATCATGTTTGTGTGAGCCCAACGATGCGGTGCGGGCGGTTGCCGTCGCGAAGCGACGTGAATACCCCATTTATAGTGGACTTTCCCATTAAAAATTGTGATTTTCTATAGTTATGCAACAAATTACCAGAGGGTTAAAACACCTAAATAACCCCAGAATTTGTTGAAGATCCTGATCAACATCTCATTCACACTCCACATGTTGAACATGATGTTTTATGGCAAATCCCAATGGTTAAACCTGTCCCCTACTTGGCAAGTTATAGGTTATAGATTCTAATGGTTAAGTCCTCCATGTCAAACACGTCCCCGGACCCACATATCTTTTACAAAAACCAAAAAAAATAACCCTATTTCATAGCTGATTCATGTTCATTAACAAGAAATGTTAACCACCAATATTAATGGTGATTTGGTTTTCATGGTTGATTAACATCAATTTAACAGTTGATTCATGTTGATGAACATTTGATGAACATTAACCACCAATGTTAACCACCAATATGCTTCAAAGATGCTAATATTAACAAATATTACCCACCAATCATAATATTTGATGAATATTAACCACCAATATGGTTAAAATTAATCCCAATCAATCCCCGATCATCGCAAAGCCCCGCACCTTGCGGGATTCCTCCATGAAAGCCGCCAGGTCAATGGCCTTGGCAGGGCCATCCAGACGTAGGCAGCCGTTCAGGAACTCGTCCGCCTGAATGTGGCCCTCGTGACTGGCATCCAACATGTGGAAGAGCATAAAGGCATCCTCTTCCTGAGAAGTTTGGGAAAAATGGGAGGCTAACATTGTTGAACCATGTTTTTTTAAAGAAAAGTTGCGGATTTCAGCAATAAATCATCGATATGAGAGTGTCTGAAAATCACCTTTTCCTCAATGCAAATGCGGAAAAGTGTTGGAGGCTAACCATCAACATGTGGTGATATAACTACTAAAGGAACATAAAATCACCAATGGATAGATCACCCAACCATTCGAAAACCATCGTTTTATGGATATACTGTATTTTGTATGGATTCATTGGAAAACCTCGGATAAATTAGCAGAAATTCAGCAGAAATTCAGAGGTGTTTTCGGTTTTTTGCTCTTCAAGCAAATCTGGGGGTTGAGCAAGTAGATGCTGCACGTATATCTATAGGTTTAAAACATATTCCACCACGTGTTTACTTTACATGTGTACATTTAATCTTACATATCAATGCATGAATGTCATGTTGGTTTGAAAACGCGCGGCTAACGGGATATTTCCCGTTGGGGGTTCCCACAGATTTCCGGTCAACCAAACCTGGGAAAGAGTAGATAAATGTTTTGTATTGATTGGTTGTTCCAAAAAAGAATTACTGCAATATGTGTATGATATAACATGTGCGCGTATCAATACGTCTGCCTTTCGCAAACACGGGTGCACACATAAATCTATGTGTGTCACCCCAAGGGTTCAGCCCCACGACTTGTAGCTATAAACCGCGGGGTCTTGCAAAAAACCTACAAAATGAATGGGTGTTTTTTAAGAATTCTCCATACAAAATGGTAGGGCTTTGTGCATCAACCAGCTCTTTGCAGCACCCCCACATTTTGTAGGGAGGTATATTTTGCCTCGATGTTTGATTTCTATTTTTTTTCTGAGTATGAATTTTGCTTGTATGCTTGGACCCTAATCCCCAAAAAAGGCATCATTGTGTAAGAACCTGTTGCTCTGCCATTTCCCTGCGTTTTTCTCAATTGTCTTTAAGGAGCAACCCATCCTTTTTGTAAGGAAATGGCCTCAATGATATTTGCAGCCTGTCTTTTTACAATGTTGACAAGAAGCGAAGCGTTCATACCCCTTCTTCTTGTCCTACGCCATCCTACATTGTTGAGCCTAGATGTGACAGGCGCAAAGCCACTAAGTTTCAAGAGCAGGCCGCGACGGATTTTTATGGCACCTCGAAAACCGAACAAATTCCAAAATGGAACTGACCATGGACCCAAGTGGACATTGGGGAGTCATTGGGGAGAGCAGGAAACGTACTTTGAAGGTCTGAATAAGCAAAATGCAAAATGCTCAAAAGAGACAACGGCCAAAATCTAGCAGAATTGGGCGCGCAGCTCGTTTTCCAAGAATAGCACTAGCACCAATTTCCTACAAAATGACCCTTAAAATCAACAAAGGGATTCCTTACAAAATGAATGGCCCCAACCCAGCCAAGTTTTCAAACTGTATTTTGAGATTGCTATATGATAGTGATTTTATGGGTAAATCATCTATTTTTTTGTGCTTACAATATGGCAACGTGCAGGGAGGCCCCCTATAAAATGGCCTCCGAAATGGGCCTTGAGCCCCTTCAAATTACTATATATTACTACATGCTACAAAATGGCTGGACTCTTGAAAGTGGTTTCCTACAAAATGACCTTAGAAATCGGGCTTATATGGGCCTGGAGGCCAGGGAAACTTAAACGGGCTTATCTATTTATGGACTGATTGACTTGCCGGCTTGTTGACATGTGTAACTTGTATAGCTTTAGGTGATTTGTGGGGAATTGTGAGGACACAATAAATAAATAAATAAATAAATATATATAGAGAGAGAGAGAGGTGCATGATGAATGGTTACATAGAAATGAAATGAGCGTGCATCCGTATTTTTCATAGGTAAATCATCTGCAAATGCCAAGTTTCAATGTCATGTCAGATTTGCAAATGCTAATCTGCCTGCAGATCATCTTAAAATTTAATCAGGCTCAGCATGTAGGAATCATGTTCTGATTTCACGTGTGGAAACATAGAAAATCATCCTTTCTGGGCAAATCTTAGCCATGAAAACTGGGAATTTCATGACTTCTCCCCATCAAAAGATGGGAGTTTTGCCCCAGAATCATCCACATCCAAGGCGTGAAAGAGTTGCTGCAGGTGTGGGTTCTCCAATTGAGCCTGGAAATCCACCCAAGTCATCTGCTCCTGGCTTTCCAATGGATATTCCAATGGATATTCCAATGGATATTCCAATGGATATTCCAATGGATATTTCGCATGAGATAGCACAAATGATCATCCATTTTAATATGTTTAATATATGGGTGTGTCTGAAAATAGTGTACCCAATCAACCCAATGGTTTTGCTGATCATTATCCCTACTAAATGGCTATTTGTTTGGGAATATACCCTATTTTCAGATATACCCATATGTTAATATATCTAAATCCATGGCTTCTCGACAAAAGATTGACCAAGTGAATCCATGTCGGGATCTCCTTGTCCGCTTCCAAGAAGAGTTGACCCACTTCTTGGAGCAAAAAGCGCCGCTTCTCCTCTTGTCCATTCTGTAGCGCAGAGTCAACAAAAATGCCTGTCAAGATATTCCTCGGCGTCAAATCTGATGCAAACTCACTGAAAGAATTATTTGGTTGCTCTACCTACTACTTTTTTGCAAGACTGGAAGCATCTCTCATCGAAACTGATATATTTCATGCTCCCTTGAACAACTTCGAACTCAGATCCTTCAGTCTCTTTCAGTCTGGTTTTGTCTGAACATATGGCAGCCATGCGGCATATGGCACCCCCAAATCCCATGTTTCATGCTTCACTGCTTCATCTTCTCCAGTTGCCACTTTTTTTGGGGTCAATCACCCAGCAAGTCAGCTCCCAAACCAACCATAAATACCCAGCAAAATACCCAGCAAATCAGCCATTTTTTATCGGTGCTATCACCATTTATGGAGCTCCCAACCCCAAAAAACATCCCCAAATCACCGTTTTTTTGATATCTCTAAATCCAGTGGCAGCAACGCAAAGACCGTAAAGGCAATGTAGATACAAAAGGGCACCGCCATCCAGGGCGAGATCTCGCGCATCAAGGGTTTTAGCATCTCGCGCCACTCCTGGCCGTCGGTCACCGCCTGGAAGAGGGCCAACATCGTCCCAGCTAAGGTGCCAAAATAGTCCGCCAGCTCTGGGTCCAACGCCGAACGGCTGTCCAAACCTCGATTGTGAAAATCGCGGCTGGTTGTTTTGGGCCCATATTTTGCTAAACTGCAGGGAAACAAACTCTTGGGAGAAATATGTCTTGAAATTGGGATTGTTCAAGGTTATTAAAGGTGGATGCGTCGAAAAATCGAGGGGAAACCTGGATGCTTTGCGATGCTTTGCGCAATATCTACAGCATCCCGTTTTTGACCAACCTTCGCCAAACTACTGATCTTGAAATCCGTTACGCTCTGCGTAATGAAGACGCCGACCGCATAGAGAAGAAGCAACAGGAAGATCACGGTCCATAGAAACGAGCGGAGGCCCTTCATGACAGCAGTGACAATGGCCTGGAGCTCACCGCTGATGTGCATGATTCGGAGAATCCGCCTCGGTGCTTTTTGGAAAATATATATGCCCAACAGAAAATGGTGACTTTTATGGTGGAAAATGGTGATTTATAGTGGAAAATGGTGATTTATAGTGGAAAATTGTTATTTATAGTGGAAAATTGTGATTTATAGTGGAAAATTGTTATTTATAGTGGATTTACCCATTAAACACTGGTGGCTGGTGGCTGTTTGGAAAAGTTTGGTCTCTCTTTCAGCAATATCCACCAAAAACCCTAGCTGAAAGCCGCGACCATGCTTGCTGCATGTTGCTGCCAACAACTACGAGTATTGAATGCAAACTCTCCATTCTCAATCACTCTCCCAGCGCGAAGGACAAGCTGGAAACAGAATGGGAGACGAAAAACCACGGGGTCAGCTGAGTCGCCAGAGTCAAAATCGTCAGTTTTGATGAAAAAGGTGACCGGATGGAACACACAAACCATGTAAACCAATAATGGTTCTCCCTGGTTCAGTGGAGCACCATGAAACGCCGGAGCCGCGTCTGCCAAGTTGCAAAATGCGAAGCAATCGAAAGATCCGCAGGGCCCGCAAAACCAAAGTGTCGTCGGTGAGTTGTGACAGATCCAGGTCCTGCGAAGAGGTCCAGGACCGTAGCAATCACAGTCACTCATGGTGATGGAGACAAGCACTTGCAATCTCATGATGTGCTTTAAGAACTGAGCCAAATCATAATGATGACAACAACATACAACAACATCATGAATCATGACCAAATCTGCCCCAATAATTCCCAATATGTTGTTTCAATGCCTTAAAGTTTACATGATCTACATTGATGGCTCAAAACCTGGAATAAATTCCAACCTGCAGGCCGTTTTGGTAGATGATGCTCGCAGTGATCCTCGGCTCCATTCATGTTCGGGCCCAAAAATCGGGGCGAAACAGAAAAAAACCAGCTGATTTGGGGGGGTTCTTCAGTTTTTTTTGGGGATCCTCAATGAATTTTCGATGACTTTGGGGTCCCCATGACTTACGAAACCATAGGACTTACCCCATGGATTCACCGAGGCCATTCTTCCAAGCATCCCTTGCTCCACGGCCTGGGACAAGATGAGCATCGTGTCAAAGAGGTTCCAGGCCATGTCCGGGCCACTGAAGAAGTCGCATCGATAGGCCGCGATGCGGAGAATGAGTTCAGAAAGGAAGATTAAGGCAAAAAGCATCTCACCTGGGATCTATGGTGCCTATCTCACCTGGGATCTATGGTGGTTTTACTATGTTTTACATGGTTTTACTGCACCTCAAAAATTACCTCAATTTTTTTTCTGCACACTGAATGGCTGTAATGGGGCCCAATCACCAGCCATACCGATTCTTTTTTGGGCGGCCATGGGCACTCAAGTGTCCGTCCCGCGTGGCGACTGCATCCCTAATTGAAGTTGATGATTGAGTATACCACTATTTGAAATTTGGGATGATGTAAAATGAACCCCCAATGGTTGCTTGATGGGATGGTTTGTGATTGACTTTACCGCATTGATGGAAAATGACATCATTTGTGTTCATCAATCACCCAACTATCGCATGATTGGGAATAAGGAACACAACAAAGTCGTTCGTTCACTTTGTTCACTTGATAATTACTAAATCACTTGCATAGTTGTGTTGTGGCTCGCTGCAACCAACCTACTGACCACGAAGAAGGGGGGCGTTTGGGCCTGCCAAGTGGAGGCTGCATAGTCCGTCTGGACGCCAATGAAGATCGAGTTGGTCAAAATCATGGCCCCTATGAAGGTGGAGAAAAGTGAGGATTCAACCAGGGATCTCAAGTTGGATTCCAGGTAGAATGCGGGGCTTCGGGCTTGGTCTCGGATCAACAATGGGTTTGACATCTGAGAGAATCGTCTGGAGGTGCGGATCAAGCTGGCCTCCTCAGGGTATGGTGTGTTGAAGTGCGGTAAGGGCGCCTACTGCACATGCACCTGCGCAACGCCTATGCATACTGTGTATTATGTTTGCGCGCGCGTCTATCTTGTCAAAATAATACCTCGATCCATACCTTATATGTTATCCGTGAGTTGAAACACAATTTTTACTGTAAGAAAAATATGCACCTATGTGGCAGGGTATGTGTTTGTATCATGTATAAAAACTATACAACTAACTAAACGAAATATTGCAACTCCATCCTCAGGCATTTGCGGTGCAGGGAGCAAACTGTTGCCAAAGCGTTTCCGGTTGGGGGAATTCCCATGTTTGCTCGCGGCCCGGCCGCGCCGAAAGCGGTTGTTGGGAGAACTGCTGCTGCTCCGCGGCTGGATTTTCCGTGGGTGCCGATGCCATTCGAACAACTCGTCATCGTGCTCCGTATGGCCTGCCCCTTGCGATGCGTGATCTCCATCCGAGACATGCCGAGACCAAGATCTGGGAAACAATGGAGAGCTGAAGGTCCTGCATCTCACCAGGAAAACAAGTAAGGGAAAAAAATGGTGAAAAAAAAAAAAAACATCAGTTGTTCAAAAGAAAAGTGACCAACGCAACGCCAAAAAAACAATTCACAATAAGCCAAGCAAAACTCCAGAACCTCCAAAGCCTTCTCCCCACCTGATGAGTTCCGGGGGCATCTGCCCGACTTGCCCCATATTCCCTGACAGCAGCCGTTCCAGCGTGGGCTGCTCGATCTGCTCGTTCTGCCGGATCTCGGAGATGTCCCGTCGCAGCTCCTGGCGAAGCTGCTGCGTTTCCTCCTTCAGAAGCACCCGGAGGTGCTCCAAGTCGGACAACGCCATGGCGCCCACTAGCAGACTTTTGGGGAAGCTCCCCTGTTGAACTGAGAAACCAACAGCAACCGACACCTTCACCAGGGTTTGTCGAGTTTCTGAGTTTCTTGGAAGCAAAAAAAGGCACCAGATAGCAAGTTGAAACTGGGGGACAGGCAGGAATGCTACAAATTTCGGAGGGCTGAAAACTAAGAAATGTCAGGGGAAAACTTGTTGACGGCGGAATGTTTCAATGACAAGTTGTTTTGTTCGTGCAGATTTGTCCGGCCCAAACCAACCAAAACCAGCACGGTGCATTTGAAATTGTCGCGTCAGAAAATTAGAAATGCTTAACCACTTCCACGTAGCGTCAGTCTTTGCAAGAAATATGACAAAATAAGAAATTGGATAGGTTTGGTTGCCAAATCTTTCAAAATTTGGCGGGCCACTAAAATTGGCCCTCCTCAATGCTTCAAATGGAGGCGAGCATGGAAAGCAAAGTCAATCTTCAAAAATTTAACATCCCATCACTTGACCCCAGATGCTGTGGCAATGCCACGCCTCGGGCATATGTTGCGCGTTTGGCAGGTGCTATACACGATTTCACAACCGTCATGATTTGTTGAAGACCGTTGCAACAATAAATTCGAAAACAAACAATACCTCTTCTACCCTTCTGAAATGCTCGAAATATATCATCTCGTTCGCAGAAAACCAAAACATTGATTCGGCAGTCTCGACGCAACGGATTCAAGTTGCGTTTTGCCTTCCGGGATCCAAAAATAAGTTCGACATGTAGCATTTCGTATGCTGGCGAGAAACGTGCGGCGTGTGTAAAATGATGATGCGCGCTTGAACACTGTGGCCCCACGCCGTCGAACGTGTTGAAAATTCCAAATAACTTGGGTTTTGGGGCAACGGAAAACAAAATGGGTTCGAATCCTCCTATTGTTTTCAATGATTTCCAATTTCGGGGGGAAATCTGGTTGGACAGCAGCATGGCTGGCCAGTGCATCACATGGGCTCAACGCACCCCAGGCTCAACGAGCCCAAGCCACCAATGGAAATCGGAATTTTTGTTGTCCTGTGCAAGTACAAAAATCGGTTCTATGCAAAAGCCATTTGCATCCATTTGCGGTTTTGCATCCATCGTCCAGGTTTTGCACCTGCCTTGTTCATGTTGACGAATCATGTCAAACACAGCTCACAGAACATGAGTTTCGCACGTGAAAAACATGTGAGCCCATGTGAAGTTCAGTATCCACTCTGTCAAGTTTTCTTGTTTAAAACCATAAAGTCAATTTGTTCAGCCGCTTCCCATTGTAGGGTTTGTTTCCTAAAAGGATTTCGGTTCCAGCTGCACCTTTGGAGCCAGAGCGTCCAGTTTCCAGTTTGTGGTGAAGCCTTTGGGCGCTTCCAGGTTTGATGCGTTGGCGCGCAAATTTGCATTTGCAATTTGAGTGGATGTGCAACACGGCTCGCCAAATCGAAGCTGCCACTCAGCCACCCAGCCACTCTGCCAGAGAGGCTGGACCAGCCACTCAGCCACTCAGCCACTGCGGCTGACGCAGCCACTCAGCCACTCAGCCACTCTGAGTGACTGAGTGACTGAGTGACTGAGTGGCTGGAGAGCCATTGGGGTGTAAGCAATATTACCCAGACCTAATTTGTCTTAGGTCTGGGTAGTATCTCAAGTGGGGTTTTATGCTAATTTAGGGTCCCTTCCTTTATTCATCCAGGCACGGGGGCATATATTCTTATGGGTTGGCTGGAATCTTAGGCAAACAGGCAAACATCTGTGTTAAAGGGTTGTGAGAAAGAAATCATTAATCATTTGTGTTAAAGGGGTTCGCTTTGTGGGTCCCTGCGGATCATCATGGCGAAAGGAATGAGACATTTGTTTATAGTTCCAATGTTTTCATATATGTATGCTATTTAAGAAATTATATATATGTGTATATATATATATATATATTTATATATATATAGGTATAGATATAGATATCGATATAGCTAGACACAAACACACCTAAGGTCATATCATCCACCTCCATTATTTCATCATTTACCACAGTTCATTTTCACAACAGTTCATGTCATTTCATCACAGTATCAACACAAAATAAACCCCCCTAATTTCATACATCCTCATCCCACATCATTTCATCATCATCCATCATCACATAAATTCATATCATAAAGTTTCATCATGATATTTTATCATAATATATTATTATGAAATAATATCATAAATCTAAATCATCCACGTCTAACATTCCTATGTTCGAATCATAAATTTTCATATATTATGATATGAAAAATTATGGGTTTAATTTTTTTAAAAGTTTTTTGGTGCATTGGTTCTCCAAATTTGTTTCAATTTTGCAATTCTGGTTTCATCATCTTTTAAGTATTCCTCCATATATTTTTGTTTTTGTTTTTCTTCCTTTTTGAGTTTTTGCTTGCTGGAATGCCTGTCGGTTTTAAGATGTTTGGACAACCTGCATTGTTTCACATTCCGTTGGCAAATGTCACAGAATACTTCCTTTTGATTATCTACTTTGTTACTCTCCTTTTGTTTGTCCAAGCATTCAATACACATTCTATTCATTCCATTGAACTCGTCATCATTTTTGTTTTTCTTACACTTTGTACACGTTCTACTCTCCATAATGTTATAAGGTATTATCCTTTCAATTTTAAGTGTATTTCCTTATGCCATAAAAAATCATATTATCTGATATGAAAATTTATGGGGTTCAAATATAAATTCCTTGTTGTATTCTTTCATACACTTTGTCAAACTTATTCTCGTCAATAATTGTATTTCCAATAAACTGTTCATTGTCTTTGATATGCAACAACATTTTTCTTAAACAATCTATAAAGGTTTCATGATTAAAGTTATCATCCATACAATCAGCATCATTAATATTCATTTCTAACATGCGGAATGCAACCGTAGAATATGAATTGTTACAAATTTTGTTCAATCCTTGTCCATAATCTTGATAATGTCTCATTTCTTTTTCATTTAATAATACTATATTCATTTTACCATCTAGAATTTCATTCGCTAAAGTATTACAAACGTATATTTGAATTTGTTCATCAATATCATCATCGTCACAAGGGTTAATATCAATTTCAATTGAATCAAAATGATTCATTATATGAGCAACTTTTACAGGCTACATATTCACAAATTTTATTACCGATACCATCGGTAAAAAAGAAATGATAATTCATTTTATTGTTGCATATTCACTGCATTTACAGCTTAATATTTTTTGTTTGATGTATTTTTTTTGATTGATTTCACGTTCACTACTTGTATCACTGAATGACATTTCGCTAGTAGATAGAGAGAGAGAGAGATAGAGAGAGAGATATATATATAGATTTAGATATAGATACAGATATAATATAGATATAGATATACATATAAATTTAGATATAAATATAAATATAGATATAGTTTTCCTTTAAGTAGATTTCCTATAAATGGTAAGTTATATGTTCAGCCATTCATGCCTCAATAGTGGTCTATTGTATCCTTCTAATGTATAGTATGTTTGATTCAACTTTTCATCAACGGACGCTACGGTATACTCACCTTTCAAAAAGTGTGAGGTTCTCTCCTTCTCCGTTGTTGTTTTCTTCCTTTTGATTTTTAAATTTGTCTCCCACAGGTAGTTCAGGATAGAGCCTCCGTTTCTTTGCTTGCATTGCGATGTTTAATCTTGACTTGAATTCATTGTCTGTATCTCTGGCTTTATACGGTGTTTGACCAGTAGCGGAATGCACATCTTTATTATGGTAAGTTAACACAATTTCATCTATGTTGTCTCTCCATTGTATATTCGTGTTTTATTCTTTTCATCGTTCTCAACTCTTTTTGCGTAATTTGTCTTTAAAAGTTTTTATAAAACGCTCGGCAAAAGCAGGGTGGCCTCTTGTCCTATACAATTCGGCCTTCGCTTTCTACATATGCTTGGAGTTCACCACTTGCTATAGTTTTCTGGTCGTCGGCGTATATGATTTCAGGTTTCTTGCCCATCTTCTCTATCGCTTTCTTTGTTCCTTGAATAACACTGCCGGTCTCTTTCCGTCTTACTGGGACTACGACAGCATACTTACTCAAACAATCAATACAGACTAATCCAGCTCTGTATCTTTGTTTCACCTTTGATTTGTTTTTGGAAATAATGAATATATATATATATCAACTTGGTATCTATGATTGTTATGTGGAACAACAAAGCTGTTATAGCCTCTCGGGTTCATTTTTATCTCTACATTTTTTGGAAGAATATTCAACATTTTTCACAGTAATAGATGTGTTTTTTTCTCTTGCATCCTTCAAAGTAGTGTTTTTGGAACCAAACCCTGCTTTATAAAAATATATGTTTCCTATGATTTCTTGCTTGCTCATACCCATGTTTTATTAAGTTTATTATTTTAAAAAAAAATCTAATGTGAAGGAGAATTGCAGTGGCAACAATAAGCCCCGCTGTTGCACAACAACCCTTGAACATCTTCAAACATGTTCATCAATGTATTCATCAACTATTTGTTTTCCCCCTTTTCTGTCTTGTCCTTTGTGACCTTCAACCTTGTTTTTAAAATAGTTAACTGCCAAATTCTTAAACATATTTTCGTCGGCGTTGTCATTTTTGAAAAAATATATATTATTGAAATCTGCTGCTCTGGTTACAGCACACCATAGCCATTCTTTGCTCACCAAATAATCGTTGTAATAGTTGTTTCCAATCCTGAATTTGTAGAGTTCATCACCACCCTCTTTCTTTTTAAGTGATTTCAGGTTATGGTTCAAAGTGTATATGTGGCTGTTATTAATCAATCCGTTGAAGTTATGTAGCTATGGCAGTTGAAGTTTACAGGGTTATGTTTGTAAATATGGTTGCTGTCAATGTCATATATACTCTTGCTTGGATTTTGAAATGTTTAAAATTTGGTCCGTCCATTTCATTGATTGATGACTCTGCCGCAGCCACTCAGCCACTCAGCCGCTGTGCCAGGAAGTGGCTGATGCAGCCACTCGGCCACTCTGCCAGAGTGGCTGATGCAGCCACTCAGCCACTCTGCTCCAGCCACTCAGAAACTCAGCCACTCTGCCAGAGTGGCTGGAGCAGCCACCCTGCCACTCTGCCAGAGTGGCTAGAGCAGCCACTCAGCCACCCTGCCACTCTGCCAGAGTGGCTGCGAGACACTCTGCCAGAGTGGCAGGAGCAGCCACTCAGCCACTCAGTCACTCTGCCAGAGTGGCTGGAACAGCCACTCTGCCACTCAGTCACTCAGAGTGGTTGAGTGGCTGGGTGGCTGTGTCGAGTGGCTGTGTCAGCCACTCTGCCAGAGTGGCTGAGTGGCTGAGTGGCTGATGTGAAAATTTCCGCCATTGCGCGTTCAATCATTTGCTGCAGGGCAGCTATACATTGTTTGTGTTTTCCGTAGCCATCGGTTACAAAAATGGTTCCGTTTCGAATTTACTGGACTAGTGTGAACTTTACACTCTACATGGGTTGTAGAATGGTTTTTAAATTTTTGTTTGCTCTTCTTTCCTGGTACCATCTGCCTTGCATATGCAACAGTTTGGAACTAGAATCTGTCATTTTGCATGGTATTTGCTACATTTGGCAATGTGTGCCTTCTATTTTGCATTGTATTTCCTACATTTGGCCATGTTTGCTTTCCATTTTGCATGGTAGTTGCCATATGTTGGCACTTCAACTTTTCATTTGCATGGCATTTGCTACATTTTACAATTTCAAACGTTCATGTGGGTTTTTTGAAGGTTTCCGCAGGTTTTCATTTAGAATTTCCTTTCGCGTTTCATGCAAGGGTTTCTTTAAGTTTCATTTATATAGCGTTTCCTTTAGGGTTTCTTTAGGTTTACGGTTTCATTGGTGTTTTTTTAGGGCTAAGGTTTCTTTAGAGTTTCATTCCGGGCAACGTTTCTTTGCGGTTTCATATTTACGGTTTCTTATCAGGATTTCCTATCAGGAGTTCTATACGTTCAGGTGAGTTTTTTCAAGGTTTCGTTAAAGGTTTTTTTTGGTTTCATTTATGGTTTCATTTACTGTTTCTTTAAAATTTCATTTCGGGTGTCTTTAGGGTCTCACTTAGAGTTTTCTAGGGTCTCTTTATGGTTTCAGGTAGGGTTTCATGTAGGCTCTCATTTACGGTTGCGCCGTTTAGGGTTTCTTTGGGGTGCCATTTCGGGATTCATTTAAAGTGTTTTTTGGGTCTCATTTATGGTTTCTTTAGGGTGATTTAGGGTTTCATTCAAGGTATTTATTTGGGGTGTCATGCAAAGGTTTCTTTGCAGAAGTTTTTTCACGCCGTCTTAAATGTTCAAGTGGGTTTGTTTAGAGTTTTTTTTTCTGTCGGGGATTCATTTAGGGGTTCTTTCGGGTTTCATTTCGGGTTTCGTCAATGTCTCTTTGAGGGTTTGTTTATAGTGTCAAGTTAAAGTCTCTTTTAAGGTCTGTTTAGGGTTTCAGTTCGTCCTTCATGAATATTTTTTTTGAGTGTCATTGAGGCTCATTAAGGGTCATTTAGGGTTTCATTTAATGTGCCTTTAGTGTTACATTTCTGGCTTCATTTGGGGTTTCATGTAGGGTTTCATGTAAGCTGTCTTTAGGGTTTTTAGGTTTTGGTTTCATTTAGGGTCTGAATTACGGTCTATTTAGGACTTCATGTACGGTTTCCCTTGGTGTTTCATAAACTTAGGGTTTGTTTAGAATCTCAGTTTGCGTTTCTTTGCGGTTTCATGCAGATTGTTTTATTCAGATTTCTTATCAGTATTCCAAACGTTCATTTGCGAGTCTTTGGGGTTTCATCGAAGGGGTCACTCAAGGTGTCGTCAGGGTTTCATTTAGGGTGTCTGTAGGGTTTCATTGAAGGTTTCATTTACAATTTCCTTGGGTTTTTTTTCGAATTTCATTTACGATTCCTGAGGGTTTCATGCAAGGGTTTCTTATCAGAATTTTTTTTCACGCATCTAAAAGTTCAAGTAGTTGTTTTTTTGTTTTCATTTAGGGTTTCGTTTAGGGTTTCCTTACGGTGTCACGTAGGGTTTGGGTTAAGTTGTGGTTTTTGGTTTCAAACAATTTTTTTTTGGAGTGTCGCTTGGGTTTCTTTAGGATCATGTAGAGTTTCATTTAAAATTCGTTTAGCGTTTCATATTTAGAGTTTCATTTAAACATTCTGTAGGGTTTCATTGAGGGTTTCATTTAGGGTGTCTTTAGAGTTTCATTTACAGTTTCAGCGGTGTTTCATGTAGGGTCCGGTTAAAGTTTTAATGTCAAGTCTCATGTAAGTTTTCACTTAGTGTTTTTTTGAGTTTTTTCCAGAGTTTTTTCGACATGTGTTTGTTATAATGTCGCTTAGTGTTTCTTTAGGATTTCGTTTTGGGTTTCATTTACATTACCTTTGGTGTTTCATTTATAATTTATTTGGGGTTAACGTATGGTTTCTTTCGGGTTCATTTGGTGTTTCATGTAGGTTTTTTTTCCAGGATTTCCTTTCGGATCCGGATTTCTTTAGGGTGTCCTTGGGTTTCAACCAGGGTCTCTCTGCGATTTCATTCGCGAGACAAACCGGGGAGAATAAAGCAAAATAGAATGAAAAACAAAGAGGCAATACAGACAATAAGCAAAGAAACAGAGGGGCAGGAAGTAGAGCAGCAAAACCACATGACTAAAAAAAATGGAATAGTAAAAGTAGAAAGGCGCAGAAGCACCAAGCAGAAAAGGAAAGAATGAAGGAAAACAGAGAAGCAGAAAAGCAAATAAGCAGGGAAAGCAAAGAGCAGAGAAGCAAAAAAAACAGGAAAAAAAAAAACAGGGAAGCAGAAAAGCAGAGAAGCAGAAAGGCAGAGAAGCAAGAAAAACCAAAAGCAGAAAAGCAGAGAAGCAGGAAAAACAAAAAAACCGAGAAGCAGAAAAGCAGAGACGCTGAAAAGGAGAGAAGCAGGAAAGCAGGGAAGCAGGAAAGCAGTAACCCAAAAAAAATATAAAACCTGCCGCAAAAAATAAATAGCCCTCCCTTTGCATGTGGCGACGTTTGGCCCTTGTGTGGTCCAAACGGTTCTGTTGGAAGCTGCTGATGCACAGGCGGCAGGGCTCAGGGGAGAGAGCCAAGAGGCCTCCACAATTTCATCACTTGTGCCTCCACATCACTTACGCCTCCGTACATCACTGACGCCTCAATCAGTATATCACCTGCGCCTCCCATGACTTGATTCCCATCACAGAACGCGGGATTCTTCTTTTTGCTCATAGCGGCTCAGCGTCCATCAAACACACGTACATGTTTGTTGTTGTTATTGTTGTTGTTGTTGTTTTGTGCTGCTGGTGCTGTTGCTGTTGCTGTTTTGCTGTTGCGTTGTGTTGTTGTTGTGTGTTCTGTTTGCTGTTGCTGTTGTTTGGTTGTTGTTGTTGTTGGTGGTGGTGGTGGTGGTGGTGGTGGTGGTGTTGTTGTTGGTGATGTTGTTGTTGGTGGTTGTTGTTGGTGGTGGTGTGTTGGTGTTGGTGTTGGTGTTGGTGTTGTTGGTGTTGTGTTGTTGTTGTTGGTGTTGTTGTTGGTGTTGTTGTTGGTGTTGTTGTTGGTGTTGTTGTTTGTGTTGTTGGTGGTGTTGTTGTTGGTGTTGTTGTTGGTGTTGTTGCTGTTGTTGTTGTTTGTGTTGTTGGTGGTGGTGTTGTTGGTGTTGTTGTTGCTGCTGTTGCTGCTGTTGTTGCTGCTGTTGTTGCTGCTGTTGTTGCTGCTGTTGTTGGTGTTGTTGCTGTTGTTGTTGTTGCTGCTGTTGCTGCTGTCGTTGCTGCTGTTGTTGCTGCTGTTGTTGTTGTTGGTGTTGTTGGTGTTGTTGTTGTTGCTGCTGCTGTTGTTGGTGTTGTTGTTGCTCATATCCGCGCTTGACACGTACCCCGTACCTCTGGTTTTGTGTGCGGTCCCAGCCATCTGCGTGGTGAGGAAGGATATACGCGCGCTGCGACCTTTCGGGTTTGGGGTGGGCTGGAGGGGGTGGGGGGTGGGGGTGGGTGGTGGGTTAGGTAACCGCAAAATGGCCGTTGGTCTGAAATCACTTGTGGTCCTGGCACGGGATGATTTTGGGAGCATGATGAAATGGGCGATGGACCACTCTCCTAGTACCAATGAAGAGCGCGTCATTGAAAAGGGAAAAATTCGTCTGGAACGCATTCAACCAGTTCCGCGACCAAACCAAAATCGTCACTACATTTTTTTGTTTCAATTTGGCCACTGCAAATTTCATCTCCTCCATCGACCACAATTGCTCTGTCAAACGCGCTAGCTGCGAAGGATTAGGAGAAAACAATTCCGCCAACATGGATGAAAACTCGTCTGGCAAGGCTGGTGGCCAACTTGTTTTCCAACTAGTGAGGTGTCCATCCTCCGCAAAGGTCTCCACCAAACATTGTTGTGCAATTTTTCCTTTACATAATTGTTTTGACTTCCAATATCCTCAAAGAATAAAAATACGTCACCGCGTTTACCATTTGGTTGAAGGGGTGTTTTAGTAATAGGGGGGGAAGAGTAATTCACAGTTCAAGCAGACGGCGTACTTCTTGCAAGAGTTTTTAAATTATGAAATTGCCAAGACGCAGTCAAATGGCAAATGCAAGGCGACCTTTTGTCTTGCGAGGTCGGAGCCAGATGGCTTAGGCCTACATGCACAGATTTGTGCGTGTCATCCTGTGCAGGGCTCATGCTAATCTCATGCCAGCACATGTCTCATGGGTTTCAATGGCAAGCATTGGATTCTTCAGCGGATAAATTTTCTTGTTGACTTGAAACCCATGGCATGTATGCAGTCACCAAAATGGAAGCCACATCGCCGATCGCCTCATGTCTATTCGGCAATCCTGTATAAGGCTTCTGGCTTTCCAACTGTCTCCATTCACCATGTCCATTGGAATCAATGAACTTTGCATAGGTGCTCCTAATTGGAAACTTGCTGGCTTGGAACCTAGGTTCTGGCGTTCTGTACGATTTAGCATTTCTGGCCACATGCACTTTGTACATACCTTTGTCATGCCATCCAGGTTGGTCACTGAGACCAATTAAATGTCCAAAAATAGGATCCTCAGTCTTTACAGGATGTCCTACGGGCAAAGCATCGGATGGTCTCACAGCTTTGGTCTGTTTCTTGACGGGCTGTTTCACAAAACTAGGTGAAAAAGTCACGCACCACTCATTCGATTGAAGGATCCGCGCCATGTGGTCAAGCTTCATGAACTTGGTCCCTCCATCCACAAACATGTTGTCCGTGGCCGTCCAAACGAGTTTGGTGCTGTCCTTTCGGAGCATGTGCCTGATCCAGGCGATGGTGAATGCCAGGCTCTTCTGTGAGCCATAGGTCGGCGTATCAGAATTGCACTTGTCATAGTTGTCTTTGGCGTCAGTCACCAGCTGCATTGGGATCTGCTCCATGCTCTTCTCGGCCATCTCACGATCCAATGGGTAACCCATCAGTTCGGCAAAGGCTCCTCTGCAGTACTGCCCTGCGTCGAGCCCTTCTTCTGTTCCTAGCAACTCGGCCGCAAAGGTCGAACGGCACACCCGCCCAAGGCGATGGCTTCTCGCCTCAATCAGGTTGAACTTGCCAGGACGCCCATTCATCAAGTTCTCATCCGCCAGCATGATGCAGTAGCTCGACTGGCTGAAGACGCGCTCAACCACATCGCCATCTGCAGAACCAGACTTGGTGACATTTCCCAAGGAGGAATCGCTCACCACCAGTATGCCGCAACGCTTCAGATCCATAGGGACGTAGCGCAGTGCGAAGTCACAGTTTTGCTTTGCTTGGCGAACCAAAGAGTTAGCTTTCATCAGGGTACTAACTATTTGTTTATCCCCTTGCAACGTGGAAAGACTAAACCCTAGGTCAACTCGAACTTGGGACACTAACCATTGCAAAGAACCTAAAACAGCTCTCAACTGCTTCTGTTCGCTAAGGGTCAAAGGAGCATCTGGAGTCTGCTTGCGGTGAGCTGCCAGCGGTGCAGGGCGCAAGTTCGCATGGTACTCCTTCATGTCCAAAGTGATTGAATGGTCTGCATGCTGAGTCACCCGTTTACCGCAGTAAACAAAGCTGCCACGTTCAAGTGAGCCAAATCCAAGCTCAGCACCCAACGCTTCCAAGGACTTCTCCGCACGGGCATTCCCGCCCATCATCAAGTCATCAACATGACTCACAATCATGCCATCCAACGAAGAGCGGTCTGATGACCATAGGAACCAGGTTGCTGCATCGATCGTAGATCGTTCCCATCCAAGCGCAGTCAGCGACTTGTGTAGTCGAAGGTACCATCTTCTTGGACTGTCGGACAAACCAAAAATTCCTTTTCGAAGGCGAGCCAGCTGACCAAGTCCAAGGGGAAGTTGAGGTTCTCCCTGACAACTAGAGCGAATCTGCCCAATGAACAATTCGCGTTCTTCTGGACCAAACAACTCGCCCTTCAAGAAAGCCGCCTTGACGTCAGCTGACAGCAAATTCCAAAGATTGGAACTCGTCAAGATCAGCAAAAGGTGAAAACTGATCCTGCTGCACGTAGGAGCGTCCTTTCTCACATTGTGGGCAGTCAAATCTTGATACCCAGGCACCACCAAACGCGCTGATGCCTTTACAGGCAGTGGATTTGATGGGGTTCGAAGTCCATCGTGCTTGTCCGTGTAGACATAGCGAGGATGCAAGATTTTGTGCATCTCACCCTTGGATTTCAACCGGCTTCTCACTTCTGCCGCTTCCGTCTCAGTCAAGGGCTCCACCGCATCATTGTCCACCCAAACTTGCCATCCACTTTGAGCTGCAACCTCAAACTGGGCCTTCTGCTCATTGGTCATTTCTTTCCACTTGTACTCCTTGCGGGCAGTCGCTGCTTGAACTTCATTGTTTCCTTTCGGCCAAAGGGCTTTGGCCTTTCCATGAGCAATCCACTCAGATCGACTTGGTAACGGCCACCTGCCATCCCAACTGCCGTGGTCTTCAGCGACAGCTTCAAAAGGATCAAGTCGGTCTTTTGCTGCAAGCTCAGCAATCTGCCGTAAAGGATGTTGTCCATCATTGGCCAACCTGAACACGTTCAAAGCGTCGTGCTCGGTAGTTTGTTCCACACTAGCTTCAGGAATAGGAAGCTCTTCAGCTCGAAGAGGTGTCGATTCATAGAGAGTTTGGAGGTCAACATCAGGATTTCGCTTTCGAGAAACTTCTGGAGGAGCTGCTTCATCAGACGCAATGCGATCCATGGCTGCTTCAACTCTAGAGCTTCTTCTGCTTGAGGTCGAAAACAAATGGCCGACAGGAGTGCCAGGAGCGGCACTTCCAATTGCTGCTGAACTGCCAATCAAACTTGTTCGATTGGAACTGGGTGCTGCTGGTGCTTGAGAGAGAGCTGCAGCCACAAGCTCTCTTGGCTGCAAGGGAACTCCACTGGAAACACCAGCGTCTGCTTGTTGAAGTTGTCCTTCAGAAGGAGCAACAGCTGGAACTTGTTCAACTGGAGGCTCAACTTCCAAAGGCATTTGTTGTCGTTGGTCATTCACGGCAGCTTCAACCACATCCTGGATTGCAAGCTCCCATTCATCCGAAGTGATCTGTTCCATGGTTGATGCACGTCTGACGTGCTCCATTGCTGCTTTCACCAACTGGCCCTTGTGGCTAATGAAACCATTGCTATGACCTTCCAATGCCACCAGGAGTCCAGGTCCGTGCCAACGCTTGAGACTCAAACGTTTCTTTGAAGCACTGGTCTTGTTGTTGAATTTACTCATTCGGTAGTAGTAAACAATGTCGCCGGGCTGGAACTGCTGGGTTTCAAGAACCGTGGGTGTTCGGGACCTTGCCAATTCAGCACGGCGCAGGCCACGAGAAAAATGTAAGCGCAGCATCGCCAGCTTCGCAACTTCACGCATCGCAACTTGACGTGCAATGGTGGGTCGTGTCTCGACCAAACCATGTTCTGCAAGTCTTTGGCCAAAATCTCCAAGGACATCTCCCACCATCTTGGGCTGTCTGCCCAATGCCGCCTGAGCGGGTGTCACACCAGCATCTGTCATGTCCCCGTTGTAGGCCATGACTGCCTCTTGCACAGCAAGCTCCATGTCATCTTTGCCCACCAAGGACTGGCTTTTGACAAGGGCCAAAAGAATGGCCTTCAAAATTCCACCACCTTTCTCACAAACTCCGTTCTGCCAGGGCGCCTGCACTGCAGTGTGGTACAGCAAGGTGCTATGTTGAGCCGCCATCTCTTCAAATTTCCAAGCGACAAACTCCTTTCCTTGATCTGCCACCAAAACTCTGGCCGGTCCAAAGATCGGCATCCATCGTTTCTTCATGAAAGCAACCACAGAGTCAGCAGATTTGTCTGGAAGAAGCTCTGCCATCTGAAAACGGCTCACTGCATCTATGACGTGGACCACAAAGAACTTGTTCTCGGTGATGTCTTCAACTTGGAAGATGTCGATGTGAACTTGATCGCCGGTGTCCTTGGGAGTTGGAAGAGTTGCTGGACGACGAGCTTTAGGAGCTCGATGTTCTTGGCAAACGGAACACTTCAAGGTTTTGGCTGCCAAAATTGCTTCCTTTGGAGCACCAGCAATTGCCAGAGCTCTTGCCAACCTTTTGTTGGATCTATGACCCGTATTGCAGTGCAATTTGCGCACTGCTTCCTCTACATTTGCTGAGATCCTGACTTGCGCTTCAGGAATCTGGATCTCATCATCACTGCTGTGAAGGTCACGCATTTCGACCGCAGGATCTATCTCACGGTCAAGGTCATCTTCAAGGTCACCGCCCTCAACGGCCAGCACATTGTTGGGTTTCCGGCGAGCACCATACTGCTTTTCAAACTCCTCCTCAATGCCCTTGATGATTTCGCGGGCCAGTTCTTTCGTGTAGTGACCAGCTGCTGAAGTGATCTTGCTGCCACCAAGAACTTGTTCATGAGGATGATCACGAGTGCATCGCTTCCCATCCAAACGATCAGCAATGGCCTCAGAGCTTGTGACGATCTTGGTTGCCTTCTTGTGGAGAAGACCTGAACTGCCTCTCAAATTGAACCTGCATTGATCAAAAATGGCTTGATGACATTCAAGACGTTGGAGAAACTGCCGCAGTTCATCAACAGACCATGACTCAGCTGTCAAAGGATTCTCCAACAAGAAGTGCCTACCCTGCTTCAGCTGTTCCTCCGCCAACTCCAAGGCAAAGCGAATCAATTGAATGCCCTCAGCTCGCTTCTGAGCCAGGTCATGGGCAGGGTTGAGTCTCATCAAAGCCGACCAAGGTCCACATGGAAAGGCAAGCACTAGCAAGTATGGTTTTTCCTTGGCTATGACTTGTTTGCAGGCCTTTTGATCAAGCCGGTTTAAGAAGTTCCAGCCTGTCTCAAGGGAAAGTGCTGAGCCCACAGAATGCCCCTTCTTCTTGGCCTCCTTGATGATGCGTTGCACCGCTGTGAAGACTTCGGAGACCAGGACACCCTGCTTGGGGTCGGGAGGTTCCGGAGACAAAGTGATCGAGGTCACAAAGTTCTCATTGAGATTTCTCTCCATCTCCTTCTCCCATTCCGCCTTCAGCACAGCGCGGACATGCCCATGGGAAACAAGGCGTTGATCTCGTTGATGTTTCTGCCATGCTTGAGCTATCAACTGGGCTTGTCCTTTCTTCACATCATCTGCATCAAGTTTCACTTGGGAGAGCAGGTCAGCCTCGGGGTTTCGAAGTCCATCGACCCCAGGGGAACGAAATCCATCGCCCCTTCGCCCCAAAAGTCCAGAGGGCTTAAAATCCAAGTTGGCTGCCTTCTGACCCAAAAGTCCAAGTCCAAGGTCAGTGCTCACAAGTCTTCCTGTGCTGCCCGCAGCTCCTCGGCTGACATGAAGTCCAGTTCTTCGCCGTACATGACTTCCATTCGTTCTTGCATGAGCTCGTTCTGATGCAGGCCATTGATCTCGTCCATCTCTTCCTCCGTCATCCGGTAGATCTCGGGGAAGGTTCGTACTGCCTCTGCAGCTGTCGTCTGAGACATGGGATTCTGCTGCATGGACATCATGTGCTGCAAGGTTTGCGAGATCATGGCTTGAAAACGACGCTCTTGCTCGGCCAACAGCTGATGCACGTCTTGGGCTAACATGCCGTTCATAGAAGCCACTTCGGCAGGTTGACTGGGCAAGGTTGGAGTTGCCGCTGGAGCCGATCTTGGAGGAGACTTGGGAGTTGGGCGCACCTGAGACGAAGGTGCAGGTCGATGGCTTTCTGGTCGACCAGCTCCCTTCAAGGTGTCGATCATTGGGCGGATCAATTCCTTGAGCTCGTCCACTTTCATCTTGTCGTGGACGTCCAACTTGAGCAAGGTTGCAAGCCTCAGGAGATCTCCCTTCAAAGCCGGCAAGCCGCCCTTTGGTCCGACTAACTGTCGAGCCGCCGCCAGCCGTTCTTGATCTTGTTCGAGGCGGTCTGCTGTTGCTTTTGCCTCTTGAATCACGGCTTGACGGATCTTTGCTGCTTGGCCCTTCATATAGCGAGCCGCGATCATGCCGTCCAGAAGAGGGTCCTCCAAAAAGGCTAGTTTCCAACCAACTCGATTTCGAAATTGGCTGCATTCTTGGAGACTCTGAGCCGTACATAAGTTTTGGGCCAGAGCGTAGTTGCCATGTTTGATGGGCCAAATGCGACCTTTCATCATGTCGCTGATCTGCTTCTGCCACTGCTCCGTAGTTGCTGTTGAAGGATATGGGAATGGCAAGAAACGGAGCATAGGCCGCTGCACAAGCCATAAGAGCAATCCCAAAGCGTGCCAGCGGGCTCTTGCGGCAGCTCGCATCACCATTCTGGCCCACCTTTCGGCCACAGCAGTGGCGCTTCTCTTCACCTTCTTTGATTCCATGGTGAGTTCTGGTAGAAGAGGATGTCGCCGTCGGTCGCAAAGGTGATCGGGAAGTAGAAGCGAGAAGATCTCGAACTCCTGAACTTGAAGAGGAAGTTGATGAAGAAGTGAAGCCACGTGAACGTGTCATCTCTTGAACCAGGGAAGACAAGCGTGGAGGAACATGATCATGTGAAAACTGTGCTGCACGAATCCCTTGTTCTGTCAAAAGATGCTCATGTCCATCAACTTTCAGTTTCACCTTGCCTGACACTAACAACTTTTTGCTAAACCAATCTTGAGATGACATCTGCTGCTCCAAAATGCCGTCTTGACCCCACCGCCGCCAACGACCAAAATCGAGCCTTGGCCAGGTGTGCGGCATCAACTTCAGAGCAAAGTGCCCCGCAGCGACCTGAGACAGGTCAATCAATTTGCCGTCTAGGAAGTCAGGACGGAGCTTCTGCTTGGTAAAAGAAATCACTGCGCCAATGCCATCCAAAAAATCACGTCCAAGCAAAAGTCCAAGGCTTGGCACCTTCACAACACTCACCCAAACCAAAACCAAATTGTCACCAATCATCATCGGCAGTCGGTATCGAATCCGACTTGTCTGAGTGCCCCCGTTGCCAAAACGAAACATCTCATTCTCCTCAGCAGTCATCAGCAAGGATTGGATGTGTTGGGGACACTTCTGAAGGGTCTGGAGGTAGTGCTGCAACCAAACATCACCAGCACAAGTGCGATTGCAGGCAGAGTCCAATGCACCCACAAGCACTTTATCTTTTGCAAGACCTGGGACCGATGGCTGCTCCTTCTTTGAGGACACCAAGGCTTCTACAAATGGAACACTATCATGATGCACCATCATCACCTCGTGGGAGTCATCGCCATCGTCCACAACGTGCTCGGTGTTCAAGCTTTCCATCACCTTCACATGTTTCTGCGGTGATGGAGGTTTCTTGGCAGCGCGCTTCGGCTTGAACAATCCGGCACCCGGTTTCTGACACTGGCTGTCACCACCCCAGTGTCCAAATTCGCCGCAGTCCCAACATTGAGTTGAGGTCTTTTTCTTCTGAACTTGATTGCCATGGATCTTCATTTTGCTTCCAGCTCCAGGTCGGCCGAAACCACGATCCTTTCTGATGTCGTTGATGCGGGCTCGTGCTTCCCGCATAGTCACAAGGCTTTCAGCAGCCTTTTCCACTCCTTCCTCCAGGTTCTCCAAAATGGAGGGGTCGACATCACCACATTCTTCAAGTTCTTGGATCTCTGTTGCCAAAACTTCAGCCTCGGCTTGAAGCACCTCATCCAAACTGGGCAATGCGCCCTCAGCCGCATCATCAGGAAGGAGCTCTTCTTCCTGACCAGCATCATCCTCGGGGTCCTCAACCACATAGGCTTGACGCGCACTGCCAGCAGAGGATCCAGGCTTACTGATCCAGGCTTACTGAAACGATAGCTGCTCGAAGTCCGAAATGACTTCACTGATGCACCACTGTTTGATGAAGGCCCGGACCGAGTGCTGGCTGGCTGATTGGATTGCTGAAGGAACCGCTGCAAGGGATAGGACTTGTGGGAGTCAAAGGATTGGGGCTTTGATCTGTGCAAAGGGTCGGAAACATGCAAATCTCTGAAAAGCCTGAGCACTTCACCTTCCACATGGTCGTAATCCTCCCTGCCCCCCAAAGCCGTCTCCAAAAGCTGAAGACGTAGCGCATCAAGCCCAAGACGGTCCTTCAAGAACCACCCCAACTCAGCACCAGGCAAATGAATGCCCTCTCGCCGCATTTCGCCAGTGAGCGTACGATACCTCGTACAAAAGGCTGAGATCCTTTCACCAGGGCTTCTACGTATGGTCTGGTAGAACTGCTTCCTAAGTTCTCCTTTTCTATCAAGTTCTGTCTTTCCCATGCTTTCCTCCAAAGACCTCATGAGCTTTCTGAGTCCTGAGAAAGGATCGGCAGCTTGGAGAATCACATCTTCGCCCGATTCAGGGTCTTTGCCAATCACCTCGGCCGTGCCAACCAACTCAGATGGATCATATTCCTCACATCTTGCACGAACAACACCTGTTTGGCGAAGGGCCCAACGTGCTGCTATGTTGTATTTTCGGCTATGCTCTTGGTCTAGTGAGGCTATCCACCATTCCATTTCTCTCTTGAAACCCCTCCATTCACTGGGATCTCCCGACCACACTGGCACCCTGTACGAAGATGAAGTCCCTTTGTCCTCATCGGCCATCTCTTCAAACACGCTGCAAGGGCCAAAATGACCAATGACGGGGCCAAAATGGCCAATGTTGGGGCCAAAGTGGCCAGTGATGGGGCCAAAATGGCCAGTGATACACAACTCAGCAAAAAGAGCGGCCTAGTTGCCACTCAGCACCCTAGTTGGTGCAAAAAGGGTTCCAAAGCTTTGCCAATGGGCACCAATTTCCAGCCACAGCAAAAATCACAAAATCCGCAGGAGCAAGTGACGTAGGGCCAGACAATGATTCCACTAGCACAACAATGAAAAAGGGATTGAAGGTCTCGGCAACAAGGATGTCTTAGACAGGGATGTAGAGACCAAGGTGCAATGCAAAGAACAGCGAGCTAATGCAATGCAGAGTGCGCAGCGCCGTAGAGCAGGTTCTGGATGCAAGGCTCCGGTGCCACTGAAATTGCCAAGACGCAGTCAAATGGCAAATGCAAGGCGACCTTTTGTCTTGCGAGGTCGGAGCCAGATGGCTTAGGCCTACATGCACAGATTTGTGCGTGTCATCCTGTGCAGGGCTCATGCTAATCTCATGCCAGCACATGTCTCATGGGTTTCAATGGCAAGCATTGGATTCTTCAAATTAATTTATGGCACCTTTCTGCTACGGGCGTGACAGGGGCAGCCTTGCATTGTTTGCATTAAGCAGCATGCATTCAAAATAGTTTGTCATCGCAAAGCCCCGATGTACCGCCCCATGCCAGCCAGGTCTTGGCAATGGAAACGCATCTTCTAGGGAAAAAGCACGTTTTCAACATGCACCGAAATGCGCCGATGAAAATGAATTGTTACCATGGAAAATGCGAAAACAACAAAATGTTGGAATCCATTTTTTAAAGGTTGTCGACAACAGAGATTTGCGTTTCGCCACGGTGCCTTTTTTAAACTGTGTTTTTACCGGTGTCCGGTCCGGCGTGTTTTTTTTGGCCATAGTTTGGTGACGTCGCTGTTTCTGCAAGATCAGTTGAGTGTTGGAGGCCGCATCGTAGCATTGGAATCTGAGAAACAGGGTGGTGGCGAAGGTTGACACGGATCCCAACGTTATTTTTCGAAATGTTTCCCTGTTTTGTTTAATCTTAAGAATCCTGTCCCTGCTGACATCATATGCCGTTGCTCTTTGGTTCCCTCTGATATTATGCCTGTTGCCCGCGCCATTCTAGCAAGATATTGGAGGAAAAAAACCAAAATCACCCACCAAAAAATAATAGAAAAAAACAAAAACCCACAAAAACCGAACGGCCCCGAAATCGGCCCAGCGTTTTCATAAATTGTCATAATCGTTGTGATTCTCGTCTTGTTGAAAACCTGGCATTTGCCAAATGTTTATATCATGGTGGTGTCTTTTGGCACTTCGTTTCCATTAAGACTTATGTTTTTCTTTGTTTTATTGCAGCCGTACTTCAAAGCATGTTGAACACCCTTAAAAAAACGTTACGTTTTTTGAATGGTTTTGCGTTTCGCCACAGTGCCAGCGAATCTTTTCCATCACTTCAACTTGCGGACCGTCTTTGCAATGATATTCCATACATCAGCATTTCGATGTATGTATCGCTATGGCAAAGCCTTGACATATGTGATGATCATTCGACTTTGGCTAGACAGGCTACCTGGCAGCATCTCGCTGCAAGCCTTCCAGTATTAACTATCTACTGTACCAGTATGGGCAAGCACCTTTGGGTTGTTTCGCTGGACACGGCGCACGGTCTTTTTAAATTGGCCCTTGGAGTGGTGCACTAACTCATGTGCACAACGTAACATGAAGTGTGGTCACCGAAGTACACCAGAAGTGTGCAACGTAACATGAAGTGTGTTCACCAAAATGCAACGTAACATGAAGTGTGTTCACCAAAATGCAACAGAAGTGTGCAACGTAACATGAAGTGTGTTCACCGAAGTGCAACAAAAGTGCGCAACGTAACATGCAGTTTAGTCACCGAAGTGCAACAGAAGAGTGTAACGTAGCATGAAGTGTGTTCACCAAAATGCAACAGAAGTGTGCAACGTAACATGAAGTGTGTTCACCAAAATGCAACAGAAGTGTGCAACGTAACATGAAGTGTGTTCACCGAAGTGCAACAAAAGTGCGCAACGTAACATGCAGTTTAGTCACCGAAGTGCAACAGAAGTGTATAACGTAGCATGAAGTGTGTTCACCAAAATACAACAGAAGTGTGTAACGTAGCATGAAGTGTGTTCACCAAAATGCAACAAATGTGTGTAACGCAACATGAAGTGTGTAAGAAAATCCATGATAACGTAGACACAGGACGTTATTACAGCCCCCCCCACCCCACCCCCCGCCCCCAACATATCACAACGCCAAAAAAAAAAAAACGCTGTGCAGGTTTTCGGGCCGTAGGCAAAAACATGACCCAAAAAACAAAATCCACCACATACAAAGACAAAGAAACCAAGGAATCAAAAAAAACTATAGAAACCCTGACGGGGAAGAAAAAAACAAAAGCAGGTGATGCCACGGCAAGTCCCAGCTGGTGTGAACCCAAAGTGAATAAGGTGCGGTTTAAACAACGTCCGGCGCAGCGTGTTCGCTATCCGATCTATCCGGGTCGATAGAGCTCTGTCCTGTGACCTGAAGCCATCCTGACAACACAGCGTGAACAAACCAACCGGATGCCTCTTGGCTTCCAACCATCCAGCAGTTTCCATAGAACGATTTGTTTGTTTGTTGCAAAAACATGGAAAAACTGGTCTTGAACGTCAACCGGTTGACCGCCAGATCCCCGCGGTGTCAATTTGCATCCCCGTATTATTCCTGCTGGTCTAGCACGCTAATCTTTTCAAAACATTGGTCGAGTTACAGCACAACGAAGCGCGCCATAGAGCGGTGCCACAAGTGTCACAGGCGATCCATCGCTTCCTGATAACACCTTCATTGCATAGAAAGTACCGCACATGCCATGCAAAATGCATCTATGTGTGCAGGCATCCAAAAACGTAAGGCAATTCAAGTCCACAAACAAGTAAAATTCAAGTGCATGAGCGAAGAAAAATTCAAGTGCACAAGCGAGTGTTCGACCTGCACGGATGGCTTTAGTGCAGAATTTACGATCCAGGAATATACAGGAGACCGATCACGCTGAGCACGTCGTGCGATTTTTCTGTCCAGTTGAATGTTGCACTTCAGGTCAGGTGAACAATGGCACCTCGAGATTCGGGAGCGGCGTCGATGGCAGCAAATCTGCAAGCCGGTCTCGCTTGGAACGGATGTTGCAACCCTGCATCTTGAGCTATGGATTAACCTTCCTGTTTGCGCTTTACACCAATGCATACCAAGACTATCGGCGCATTTGTTCGACGTTGATGAACCCAGCCCAACACAGCGGTGACCATGCATGACATCCATGTTTTTTGTTGCACAACTTGCATGGCAGCAGTGCCAAACGGCATTTATATAGCCTTTTTGAAGGTGTGGAAGGTTGCATGTTGCATAGTTGTTTTGACCTTCACAAATGTTGATTTGATCCTGTACCCCGGATCTACTCCACGCAGTCGACCATCCGCCATGATTTGGTGGCCAAATTGTATGGCACATGGTCACATGGTTTAGAAATGTTTAGAATCTGTGGGCATCACTTTTTGAGATGCAAACACCCAAATCCATCCAATCCAAAATATGCAGTTCACCACTTGTAACGGATGCAATATCGCAACAGAATGGACCACCTTCCTTTGGGCGCGATGTTGGACCATGTGGGTTGCCGATGCGTCGCGATTGTTCCACACCGAGCACGAACACAGGAGACCTTTGACCGCAAACGAATCTGGGGGACCTTTGCCTTTGCTTCGTTTGCTTGTAGTGTGTGTTTTGAGCTAATCGCTCTGGTGTTTTCAGCTGTCACTATCATTCTGCTGCTAGGCGCTTCGATATGCCGAGGACCCCGAGGATGACCTAATTCCAAGCGACGTGTTGTTAGGACTTTGCCACCTGGACTCTCGACCTGGGCCGGAAAATGGCGGCGCAGGACGCATGCCTGAATTCCATGTATGGGGTTTTGGCAGTCCAAGTGCAATGCTACACAGCACCTGAAAATATTGGGCTGAGTTGAGTTTCATTGCCTTCAATGGCTTCAGACGGTTTCAAATGTTTCAATTTCGATTTTGTCTGAATTGAAGTGAGGTTTTTGTTGACTTGAGATTGCATGGTCCTGAAAATTCTTGGATCTTGCGTTACAGTTTTCCGTCCTCAATGAACTTGGAGTCTGACTTCCACGACGTGGTTTTTGAAACGATGGCGAACTGCGCCAGGTTTCTGCAGGGACGTGGGGAGTTTCCAGTGAGCATTGTATGGAACGAGTTTGGCGAGGCTGGTTGTGTGTTTGATCGCTCCTCATATTTTCTCGAAACGGAACGTGCTACATCTGGTTGTTCTTTAGAAATATTGCTTGGCGATTCCCTCCAAGAAAATTCTTACAACACATGTCTGTGTGTGTGCGCGAACATAGCGGTAATGAAAACGAGCGTTCCAAACATCAAATGTCATTGACACAGACAATCATTAGTGAACATGAAATCCATTAAACCTACGAAACCGAACGCCCATGACAATTTAGGCCTTCATGCTGTCTGAATGTACATGATATATTATACATTATTCATGATGTAATTCCTTTGATCTCTTTTCACATTTGTTTTGTGGGAATCTCTTGTGAAGTTATTTTACGAATCACGCGTGAAAACACTGGTGCGAGATACTCGTGTGGGATTCGCTTTGTGGACAGAACGTAGGACACGTTTTTGACAACACTCTGGTACGACACCACTCCTCTGGGACACTCTGGTGGGATATGTTCATTGTGTATTTTGTTGGACACCCTCGTGTGTTCCAGAGGTGTCCGACACTATTGCTCGACGAAGGACAGCGGCCGTGCCAACTATAGCAGCTGGTATCGAGGGATGACGTCCATTTCAGTACTTGTGGAAGCGGAAAACCTGCCCCTAACGTAACATGAACCTTCTAGGAAACATCTTTTGCTGTAGTATGTATGGTGAAATACTGACAAGAGTCCTGGCAAATATGCGGACATGTGTTTTGACTCTGACATGCATTCAACATATTTCCTGACATCTATTCTCGACAAACATTATTTCTTTCTAAGATGTGAATGTTGACATGATTCTGACAATATTTAGAAACTCTTTGGTAGGTCTGAGACATGTAAATTAGCAATACATATATATATAGTGTGTGTGTGTGTAATATATTATAAGTAATATCTACTATTATCATTATTATTACTTATTATTATTAGATATTTACGGGCAAACATTCTGACGTACATTCTTGCGAATGTGTGACAACAGTTTCACTCGGCCGATAGCAGCAGATCACACACCTGAAACACCTCCCAACGTATACATTCGGCAGTTTCCCCAAACGTAATCGCGCCATCCATCACGAAAAGTTGCGGGGACAACACCGCATTGGATGACGATGGCCAAAACCGAAAGAAGTGGCACGTTTGCAGAATATGTCATCCACTTTTCTGCTCTTTTCGGAGGGCGTATGAGAAGGGTAGTTTCTTGTTTCAGCAAGATGTGCTCTTGTTTCCGGCTGCTCTACACAGTGCCGGTTGATCCGGTTGATGGTTTTGGTGGCGTGGCCGAAATGGCCTAAATGCCATGGAACATGTGAAGATGTCACCTTTCTGTCCCTTGGAATCCTTGGAATCCTTGGAATCCTGGCATCGTCGCTTAAGCCCTGCGACGACCTCGGGGCCTTTGAGCAGCACGTCGCTGTTTAGTTATAGGCTATATTGTGGTGAACCATCCAATGAGGGGGTCCTTTTGAATCATCCCCTAATTTATAGGGATATACCACAGCCGCTGCCAGCTTCCCCTTTTTCAAGGGCCCTCAAAAAAGGCGTCAAAAAAGCGATGATCCGCAAGACTCAGAAGCTAAACTCCCAATTCTCGGGACTACAGCTATTTGTCCATGATCAGTGGCTGTTGATCACCCTGTCTCGACTCTCGACATTTCAAACAGCGTTGCTTTCATGCTGTCAAGTCATACTGCATTGATCCTTGGACATCTATGTCAGTCAATGGAGAAGGGAGCTGAATGACCAAACATCCTGCTGCGTTCCATGACAAAAACATCCAACGTTTTACAAAAAAAAAGGCAAACATATATTTATATATTGATCATCAAATCAAATCATCAATAATTGATCATGAAATCAAATCATCTATGATTGATCATGAAATCAAATCATCAATAATTGATATAATTGTTAAATGTTCAAAAGCATCTGCTCTTTCGCTCCCTTCCCACAACACAGCAAAGAAATCAAAGAATCCCCATCCTGCTGCGATCTCACGCCAATCGCGCTGCTTCGATCTAACGTCAGCAGGAAGTGGGGTGGCAACTCAGAAAGGAGCAGTTGTGCTGCACATTTACGGGCAAAAAACAACGAACAGTCTTTTCGTGTCGGAATTTCTCATTTTTTTGGAGGATGAGGATAACTGATAACCAAATGTTCTTGCCGATCAACCTTTTTTCAGACCAAACCACGGTTGCAATTTGTTCTGAGCAGGACAGCTGGTCCCCCAGGCTCTAAGTCACCTGGATCTCTTGAAGATCCAGGCAGGAACTCTTATTTTCTGCGCTTTCTGCGCTCTGCTTTGGGAGCTAAATCGTTTGGCCATAGCCAGAACGGGATTTGGAGTAGTCAAGAGTCCTCCTGCGCGGTGTCGCGCGACGCGGTAGAGTGCAAAGGAAGATTGATACTGCGGATGGTAACATTCTGAAACCAAAAGAAACACAGTAAATTATGTTCACTGGTTGATGGTGTCAAACTATCTGAAAATATGAGTCAGTTTGGATCATCATCAGTAAATTCTGTTATTGTTCCAAACGGTTGTTCTGTTCTTGTTTTCCCATGTTTTCCAGCATCACAACCGACCTGGTATCTGTGGCAAGGCTCCTTGCTGTTAGTGCAAATGGGATGCCTTGCCAGGCAAAAATTGCAAAGTCACATCCTTTCAACGAACGAAAAAAGGTGAAAAAACCCACCGCATGCAGGATCTAACGTGGCCGCTGCCTTCATAGCGATGGTTGTTCCGAAGGCTCGAAGACCTCGAAGCGACTCGAGAAGACTGTGGAGAAATCCATGGGAAAATGTCATGGATATAATGTCAAATGAGCAGTGGCTGCTGGATTATACCTGTTGGTTGACTTGGTATCACTTTCCAAATGGATGGATGATTATACCAATGAATTTATCAACAGGGCTTTATTATTTGGACAATCCAAAGTGAACCACTTTATTCCAAAGTCAACCCATGGTATATTCCAAATCACTTTATGATGATAGCCAAATGGAAAGTGATATCACCATTATCACCCAAGTCAACCACTTTATGGAAGTGATATCACCTGCCCAACATATCAATCCTGTTGATTATTATAAATCGATTATACCTGTTGGTTGACTTGGTTGATGATTATATCACCTGGATAATTGCCCATATGTCATGGATATAATGTCATGGAGTCATGGATTATATCACCATTTTTAATAGGTAAAGCCAGGCAAACCATCTATTTCTATGGGCCATTTTCCATGGCTATGTTAAATAACCAGGTGATATATGGCAGTGTGTCAAAACCTTGTACCCCTGTAGTTCACATCAAAATAGCTGGGATTTATGGATGTTCATCCCATTAAAAATGGTATTAATAGGTATTGATCCATACCCATATCACAAATACCACAACTTTTTTAAATGGGAAAATCACCATTTTTTATGGGAAAATCCTCTATATATGGTCATTTTCAATAGCTATGTTAAATTACCAGAGGGTATACCTGCGGAAAGTGATCTCCGAGGCGCCATTCTGCGCTCACCTCGCCACTGAACCTCTCGAAGGTCTTGCCAAACTTCTCCTAAAACACGGAGGCGAAACGACGGGTTAAAATGAGTCATTCAACAAAAATGAGTTTTGACCCATCCCCATATACCACCTGGTTATTTAACATAGCCATGGAAAATGGCCCATAGAAATAGATGGTTTACCTGGGTTTACCTATTAAAGGATATGGTTATGGATCAATACCTATAGATACAGTTTATTAGGGGATGAACATCCATAAATCCCAGCTATTTTGATGTGAACTACAGGGGTTGACACACTGCCATATAAAATTATACAAGAATATAGAATTTTATAGAGAAGTGATCAGAAATGATGGTTCATCGAGAATTGATCCTGAATCTACATCTAAAAGAACCGCCCGGAAAAGGTCTTTCCTGCCCAAAGGTTGTCTCCTGGTTTTGACTGCGCGGAGCTGCGACCTCAGGAGACTTGGCGGAAACTGATTCCGACGATGGAATGTGACGCCTAAGCCAAAGCTCCAGACATTCCAGAAACAGATTGGACATAAAATGACATCTTTTTTGAGCGCGTGAGCATTCAGCTGCACCCCTGCTTGCGGCTCACAGGTCAAGTTTGACCTGAAAAAACCCTTTGGAAAAGCTCAAATCTCAAAAAAATCGCTGGCCATGGCTGTGGGGAACCGCTTCAGGGCTTGTAGAGCTTCTTCATGTCCTCGTTGTTCTCAATCTCCTTGCCCTGGAAACCACCCACCTGGCCGTGATATCATATACACATGTAAATGTAAATATAGATATTATGTGTATATATATATATTATGGTATATGTATATATATATATATAGATCATTATAGATCCCCTTGAAGTTAGGTGGAGGGGTCGCACCCAGCGACCAATGTAAACACAGAACCGTGGGATTTCCAAAACCTTTTTAAAATGGCTGGGTTTTTGAGGAGTTGGGCCCTGAACAAAAAAGCCACCGGTTTGTGCACAAAAAATGGCTCTGAAATCCCCACCATTTTGTAAGGTGACCATTTTCTTTATCATGTGAATGCTGCATCAAAAGAGAAAATCTAGAATAGTGATGAATAGTGTTCATGTACTTACAATGTACTTGTCGATCTTTTTGGGTTTTTACTTTTTGAACTTACTCTACATATGATACAAAAAAAAAACGACAACTGAATGGTCTCCACCTTGATGGCCCTGGTCTTGTCCACTGGGATGTTGTACTTGGTGGCTGCATTCTTCAGCACCGCTCCATAGTAGACGATGACGAAGCCGCAGAAGGCCCAAGCCAATGGCTCGATGCCATAGAAGACGTCAAAGTACTCCTTGCCTTTGGCCGGAACGGCCGGAAAGGGAAATCTAGGCTCTGCTCCAAGAGATGTTTCATGATTTTTTGGGTGAGGGGACACCAAAATCCTCCGAAATCCTCCAAAATCCCTGGTTTCGTGGTCCAACTTCGTGTTGCTGAGGCTCTTGGGCCCCCATTAATTTTGTTCCTGCCGCTTCTCATTGCTGGCTACAAAGCAAAAATGTTGGTGGACTCCGCAGTTCTTCTTGGAATCACATGTTGGCTAAATCCATCATAAAAATGGCTAAATCCATGGCTAAGTCTATCCAAATCCCATTACTTTCTTGTTTCCTTATTGATTAACGGTTGACTTCCACTTCCCAATCCCCCACGTCTGCCACTGCACCCTTGAAGACAAAGGCATCCGCTCCAGCTGGGACAGTTGCCAACACGGCAGCCCCTGTTACCACCGCTGGGTCCACGGTGCGCGTGGCTGGTGCTGGGACGAAAGCGATGCTGCGCAAGAGGCACAGGGCAGCAGCCAAGATGCACAGGGCGGTAGCACGGGCCATGGCTTTTCTTTGGAGTGATAAATATACGAGACACCCTGCGAAAATGAAAAGAATTGGCAAGTTGCATGTGGTGTTTTTCAGCCTTTGGGCATCTGGAGCTTTTCCAATCCATTGGCTGCAACAGAGCCAAATTGCGGAAATACACTTGGCATAGTTCACATACGTCCCAAGCAGTACCGAGCGCGGTAGTAAACTCAGAATAATTTGTAGTATTATTGCATAGCTACTTACAAAATTTTACAAATAAATAGTAATTACCATCCCTAGACTTAAAGGTGTCTCATGTCCGGATAATTGTTAAGTAGAGCAGGTGGGAACGAGTCAGGATGCGTTTGTAGGCCCCTCTAATCATCTCCATGGATGCTGGAAAACCCCCCCATGTCGATGATGTTCCCGCTGAAATACATACCTGCACAGCATTTCCCATGTATTTTCCATGCATTTCCCATGCATTTCCCATGCATTTCCCATTGAAATGGTGGGAAATCGTCCCAAAAATTGGTCCCAAATATGGTGCAGCTCCATAGCTGTTATCCCTGAGCGACACGGACATCTCGGCGATCCAAGGCCTGTGGCTAGGGGATAGAGGTAGTGAACCCCGCCAGGATCACTGACAGAATTTGGTGCACTATTAATGGGAATTCCAGGATCCTAAAATGGAGGTACTGTGCCATATAAGGCCATACTGTGCATATTAATGGGAATTCCCATTGAACTATCCATTTGACCCAGATCTCAGAGATCTCTGTGGCTAAGTTTTGACGAAGTTGGCGAAGTTGAGCCCGTCTGGGTTCGGCACTGCATCTACGATGGCATTCACTCGGTTGATGTTCGGAACCTGCACGGAACGCCATCGGCGCCAAGTACCAGTGAATTTCAAAATCCACTAAGCGGAGGACATGAGATTTTATCATAGTTCAGAGATGTTCAGAGTATTCATAGTGTCAAGGGCCCTATATCCCAACACAGGGGTTGCAACAAGGGGGTTACAAAGTGTTAGACTGTCCGCCGAGGCAGGGCCATCGGCCATCGGACAAACCCCCTCTCCTGAGCATTGGCAGGTTGCTGCATGTTGCGTGGCAATTCCTGGGCGAAGGCTCCTCTTTGGATCAAAGGGATGAGATTCCAAGACTGTGCAAATGGTAAAGGCTGATTGATGACTTAATAACCCTGGTTAATAAGTTTCCCAAAAGTACGTGGTTTCTGATTTTTCTGAAATATTTATATTTATAGTTGCCAAAATCAACTTGAAGAATAAACATTCGAATGATTTTACCTCTCATCACAAAACATCTAAGCCAGGGCCGCCAAAGTACAAGAGGAGCAGTTGGTGGCTGTGTCCAAGTAGAGTAGAAAGGCAAACAGGCAACCTGCCGAGGTTGTCACTTCCACATCAACTTCACGAGTATCAGAAAGCAAGAGACGCCGAATAGTGTGGGGGGTAGGAAATCAATGTACCAGATACAAGCAAAAGTAACTATGGAACAGTAACAGAGCAGATCAGACAGTATCGGAACTGCAGCGGCAGGAATTTGTTTTGGCACAAGAAACAACGCTATGTCTACCCATCAGGACCTCATACCAGAACCTTACACCAGGACATAAAAGACAATTCAAAAGATCGTCCAAGAAGGACCTTCTATAAATAAAGGATCGCACAAGATCTTCAGACAAGATCTTCCTATGAGCATCCCAGAAGAACTTTCAGACAAGCACCAACGCAGAGCATCTTGAGATCTGAACGCAAGAATCTCCTGAGGAGGATCGAAACAGGGTCTCCACAAGATCTTCTCACGAGGACCTGCACGAGACCATGCAAGGACACCGAAAGGATTTCACCAGGACCCCTTCAAGATCTTCCCACAAGGACCTGTACAAGATTACAAGATCATGCAAAGGCCTCTTGCAGCATTGCACGAGGATCTCCACAAGATCGTCTCACAAGGACCTGTATGAGATCACGCAAGGATCTCTGAAAGGATTTCACCATCACAAGATCATGCAAAGGCCTGTGACAGCATCGCACGACCTTCTCATAAGGACCTGTACAAGATCATGCAAGGACCTCTGAGATTTCACCAGGATCCCTACAAGATCCTCGTGAGAGGATTTCACCAGGATCCCTACAAGATCCTCGCGCAAGGACTTGTAAAGGACCTTGACCAAGACCAAGATCTTCATGCTAGGACCCCGAAGAGAATGTCAAAAGATCGTCGTAAAACAACCTGCTGCTGCTGGACACCGCGCAGTCGAAATGCACTTGAGAGCAGGCGGAGGCGGACGAAAGGTAGTGTAGTGGGAGAGGAGTGGTGTCAAAATGCTGCGCCCCTAAGATGATACACCAAAAACGTTTTGCGCAGTCTAAGATGATTTTATCCAGAGCATGACTGCATGATACGGTGTCTTGTGCAGCGTGAAATGATGCACGAAAAGGGGTTTATTTAAAACCCCTTTTAGACCCCTTGCAGCAACTGTTATTGAGGCTGAAGCATACCAATTATGCTGGACTACAGGGACATCTCCCTCATGGAAAGTGTGCCTCTAATGTGGGGGCCCGTGACCGCGTCACCCGTGGGAATTGAACCCATGACCATTTTCGGGGGGGGGGGCCGTACGAGGGAAAAACATGTACTATGTGGCACGGCGCGTTTTCCTTGTAAAAATTCTAAATTTGGGTCACGTGAATTTAGAATTCAATCCTAAAATTCTAAATTTTTCCAAGCTCCAAATTTAGATTTTTTAGAATTCAATTCTAAAAATTCAAAAAATTCTAAATTTTTCCAAGCTCCAAATTTAGAATTTTTAGAATTTTTAGAATTCAAAGCTGGATTTGGGGAAGTTGAACTAATTCTAATTTAGACTTTTTAGAATTTTTAGAATTGAAGTCTAAAAATTCTAAAAATTCTAAATTTGTGCGAGCTCCAAATTTAGAATTTTTAGAATTTAGAATTAGTTCAACTTCCCCAAATCCAGCTTTGAATTCTGAAAATTCTAAAAATTCTAAATTGGAGCTTGGAAAAATTTAGAAATTTTAGAATTTTTAGAATTGAATTCTAAAAATTTTTAAAAATTCTAAATTAGAATTAGTTCAACTTCCCCAAATCCAGCTTTGAATTCGAAAAATTCTAAAAATTCTAAATTTGGAGCTTGGAAAAATTTAGAATTTTTAGAATTTTTAGAATTGAATTCTAAAAATTCTAAATTTGGAGCTTGGAAAAATTTAGGAGCTTGGAAAAATTTAGAATTTTTAGAAGTTTTAGAATTGAATTCTAAAAATTCTACAAATTCTAAATTTGGAGCTTGGAAAAATGTAGAATTTTTAGAATTTTTAGAATTGAATTCTAAAAATTCTAAGAATTTTAAAAATTCTAAAAATTCTAAATTAGAATTAGTTCAACTTCCCCAAATCCAGCTTTGAATTCTAAAAATTCTAAATTTGGAGCTTGGAAAAATTTAGAATTTTTAGAATTTTGATCTAAAAATTCTAAAAATTCTAAATTTGGAAAAATTTAGAATTTTTAGAATTTTTAGAATTCAATTCTAAAAATTCTAAATTTGGAGCTTGGAAAAATTTAGAATTTTTAGATTTTTTAGAATTGAATTCTAAAAATTCTAAAAATTCTAAATTTGGAGCTTGGAAAAATTTAGAATTTTTAGAATTTTTAAAATTGAATTCTAAAAATTCTAAAAATTCTAAATTTGAAGCTGGGAAAAAATTAGAATTGTTAGAATTTTTAAAATTGAATTCTAAAAATTCTAAAAATTCTAAATTAGAATTAGTTCAACTTCCCCAAATCCAGCTTTGAATTCTAAAAATTCTAAATTTGGAGCTTGGAAAAATTTAGAATTTTTAGATCAATTTGGAGCTTGGAAAAATTTAGAATTTTTAGGATTGAATTCTAAAAATTCTAAAAATTCTAAATTAGAATTAGTTCAACTTCCCCAAATCCAGCTTTGAATTCTAAAAATTCTAAAAATTCTAAATTTGGAGCTTGGAAAAAAATTCTAAATTTGGAGCTTGGAAAAATTTAGAATTTTTACATTTTTTAAAATTGAATTCTAAAAATTCTAAACATTCTAAATTAGAATTAGTTCAACTTCCCCAAACCCAGCTTTGAATTCTAAACATTCTAAATTTGGAGCTTGGAAACATTTAGAATTTTTAGACTTTTTAGAATTGAATTCTAAAAATTCAAAAAATTCTAAATTAGAATTAGTTCAACTTCCCCAAATCCAGCTTTGAATTCTAAAAATTCTAAAAATTCTAAATTGGAGCTTGGAAAAATTTAGAATTTTTAGAATTTTTAGAATTGTATTCTCAAAATTCTAAAAATTCTAAATTTGGAGCTTGGAAAAATTTAGAATTTTTAGAATTTTTAGAATTGAATTCTAAAAATTCTAAAAATTCTAAACCAGAATTAGTTCAACTTCCCCAAATCCAGCTTTGAATTCTAAAAATTCTAAATTTGGAGCTTGGAAAAATTTAGAATTTTTAGAATTTTCAGAATTGAATTCTAAAAATTCTAAAAATTCTAAAAATTCTAAATTAGAATTAGTTCAACTTCCCCAAATCCAGCTTTGAATTCTAAAAATTCTAAATTTGGAGCTTGGAAAAATTTAGAATTTTTAGAATTGGTAGAAATCCTAAAATATCTAAATTTGGAGCTTGGAAAAATTTTGACATTTTAGAATTTTGAGAATAGAATTTTAAAAAATTAGAAATACTAAATTTGGAGCTGGAAAAAAATTAGAATTTTCAGAAATTTTCGAATTGAATTCTAAAAATTCTGAAAATTTTAAATTTGGAGCTGGGAAAAATTTAGAATTTTTAGAATTGAATTATAAAAAATTCTAAAAATTCTCAAAATTCAATTAGTTCAACTTCCCCAAACCCAGCTTTGAATTCCAAAAATTCTAAAAATTCTAAATTAGAGTTAGTTCAACTTCCCCAAATCCAGCGTTGAATTCTAAAAATGCTAAAAATTCTAAATTTGGAGCTTGGGAAAATTTAGAAATTGAATTCTAAACATTCTAAATTTTGAGCTAGGAAAAAAAAATAGAATTTTAGAACTGAATTCTCAAAAAACTAAAAATTCTAAATTTTGATCTTGGAAAACTTTAGAATTTTTAGAATTTCAGACTTGTATTCAGAAAATTGTAAAAAATTCAAAACCAATCTCAAAATTCTAAATAAGAATTAGTTCAACTTCCCCAAATCCAGCTTTGAATTCTAAAAATTCTAAATTTGGAGCTTGGAAAAACTCGAAATTTTAGAATTGAGTTCAAAAAAATCTAAATTTTGAGCTTGGAAAAAATTTAGAATTTTTGGAAGTCTAGAATTGAATCCAAAAAATTAGAGGTTTTTGAATGGAAGTCTCAAAGCTCGGACCCTTTACCAAGCTTCCATTCAAAAAACTTATGTTTTCCTGGATTTTCAAGCTGTTCAGTTTTTTGGGGTTTTGCACAGTTTTCTTACGCATTACTATTCCTATTATTCCTAACTCTTCAATATATAGTTACAAGAATTGACTAAGACAAGTGGGTAGAGCAGTAGGCCGAAGGCCTTCCTAAAAGACGCTACCCTACCATGATTGCAACGACAGTTAGACACGAGCCATACCACTTTCAGACCCTCCGAACAGAACAATGAGCAGAAGAGAGGGCGAAGGCCTGCCTAAAGACATCAACCTGCCACCCGCGCAACAACAAATAGATACTAGCCCTGCCATCTGCAGGCTCTGAGACAAATTCCAAGAAAAGGACAGAAGTGGAGGGGTAATCTAGATAAATTGACAGACAGTCAGTGATTCAGTGAGTTAGTAAGTAACACAACTAGCTGATCAAAAAAACACTTTTTCCGCAAACAGCCATTCTTCGCGAAGAAAAATGTTACTTTCGCGAACTCCATGTTTATCTTTCGCGGGGCCCACGTTGGGCAACAACACCTCTTATGAAGATTCGTTCACCACCTGCCAAATTACGCCAGAGAATCACGAATCACTTCTTGATAGCTTTTTAAACATGCAGCTAGCATCACGAAATCCCTTCTCAGGGCAGATTGTTGCTGATTATTTTTTTTTTGCAAGGTTTACTGACCCACCCCCTTCAACATGTACCTTGGCTTTCGCCCGCTCCTTCGAAGAACTTTCGCGGAACTATCGCGAAAATATCCCTATCCGGCCATCAGCAGGGGGCGCATTGAAGGAAAAGCGAGCACCAGGGGCCTTGGTGATTGGCTCTCGCAAAGCCTAACTTTTGGAAACTTGGCTGTTGCATTTGGAGCTTGTTTCTCGAGACTTCAAAAAGCATCATTAGGCAGTGACAGCGGCAGGATACGGCAGGTGCAAGGATGTGCTTCAGGAGCATGGTG